CGGTGCACTCACGAGATCGCAACACGACGACATCCTTGTAACCCCCAATGAGGACATGTTCACTTTTTGGGTTGCGCACTACCAACTTCGTGGAAAGTAAAACAACACGATTCTTGTTAATGGCGTTCGTGATGCAGCAACTCTCGAGGATAATAAAGCTTAACGAAGGCGAAATGTGAGAAATTCAGTGTACGTCAAGATTTAATTGAGATGTGGGAACTTAAGCAGCTTACAGTGAATCCTTACGCAGGAGCTCTTTGAAGGTCGAGAAGGATGCTGCCGGTGACAAAGAATGAATTAGTCGTCTTCTGGTGTATGGTTTGTCTTGCAACAGGGCTTTACTCGATATCGGCGTTTCGAGGTTGAGTCAATGAAGTGCTCATGTCCCACCTACACATAAAAGGAATTGCCATGTCGCCACCTAATCGCTGTTCTATATGCTGCTGGGCCCACTACTCTTGACGCATTAAATTGATTCACATCTGTGTTTATACGATACAGCAGGGTTATGTGCGACCCCGAAGAGTAAGAGGGAAACGGTATTGATAACGATAATCGTACAAGCTAATTACGACATCGTGGATGAAGCCAACGTTATGTAATCCTTTTCTTGTCGTTATCTCTATCAGTTGGTAACTGATGGCTGTTTCGTCGAACGCGAAAATTTTGCGTGACTAAGCAGCTCGGAGCACAACACTTTGTAGCGGTTAGTCGTTCTGTGCTACAAGCGCACCACATCGTCCAGCACTACAAAAGGAAGCTTTAGACCATTACCTCAAGTCTGCTGTCCCTTTTTCTGTTCACACAAGAACCTACATAACACACAATACACACCACAGTATATGCAGCATTAAACGCCTAGCGAGCGATTGACTAACACTGTCACGTGCAGCAGCTCTTCTCTAATTGGTTTTATCCAGCATCAGCGTAACATGCTCAGCCTTCTAGGTACTTATTCCACGTCTTCTGTTTAAGAGAAAAAGTGCTGTTAAGTAGTTCGTTCCATTTCAAAGCTCACAAAATCCACAAAAGCACACGTACAAATTCATCGACATTACTTTTGTACGTCCCGATACTTGGTCCGAAAACGGCATTGCGTACTCATTATTCGTGATATCCGGGTATACGTCCTACGAAGACGACAAATACAAAACACTAAACACACAATGTGTAGACCTAGCTTGAACGATATTCACGCGTCCTCGTAATGCATATAATTACCTGAAGTGCCTTGTTGGACGTTGAGGCTGTAATCCCATCCCGCGCAGTAGCACACCAAAGATTGATTAAAAAACGCGCGTCTGCGTTCTTTTCATACAGATTTCATCAATTAAAGAGCGATAAATAACGTCTGTTAATTTGTGAACTACCTCAACGCAAGACCTTCTTTATGACAGCTATTGTCTATCCACCATGATAATTTAAGTCCTGCTTTATTCCGCGGCTAGTCGAGTGTGTTGTTAAGCATGAATGCATAAGCGCACCACCCGATCGTATGGGACCTAAACAGCATAATAAACAGTTTCAGCATGAGCAAGTTCCCGGATCCAGCGTCTCAATGGCCTTTATACTATTGCGGGATCGAACAACGGACCAAAGCATTTCCTACTCTTGGTTCGTAAGACCCGACATCGCAAGTCGTACAGCGCACAGGTAGACTCTGCGCTAGTTTCTTACCAAACCATGCGCAAAACTCATGTAAAAGACCACACATGTTCCTATCGTCACGCATGTCTCGCTCACGCATTGCACGTCGCGTCGAATCGCAAAGCGAATTTACAAACAACTATTGCACTTCTTCAAAAGCGCGACAGGCACCGGTTCACTTTTTGAAAGAAATGCAAGGTGATCTACACGAAATTGGTTATTGGCGGTGCTGATTTTGGGATTGGTGCTAATAATGAGACTTTTGAACTAGTGTAGTGGAGCTACCACAGCTCTAAAGTCAGAGGAAGACTAATGAAATAAGCCAGAGGCTTACGGCTAACAGCCATTAAGTTTATAGGAACTAATGCATCAAGTTAAAGAGTCGGCTAGTCCTACGGAACTTAGCGCGGATTCTATGATCTATTAGCTCAGACTACTGTAGTTCTAAGGAACTACACGCACAGTGTGCAAAAGGGGAATACCGGAGTCTAAAGACTCTCTAACTCACCACAGTTTTAGGAACTGTCAAACGCTAGGTGCGAAAGGGGGAGCCTCCGGACTTCTGCTCAAAATGAGAGCTGAGTTTATTTATATTTTACATCAGGGAAAATCCTATTTTAAGTACTCCATATTCTGCTAAAATAGAACTAACACAAATTTTAGCATTCGAACTAAATGGATGGTTGGCACACCACTCAGTCATTAAAAGATGACAATACAAAGTACTTCCACGGTAATTACCGTAAGGCAGAGAGTTCCGACGAATCGGTATTTTCTATTTATTTAAAATCTGAGGCCACACCTGTCTCCCATATTACATATGGGAGGTCGTCAACCCATTTAGCCAATGGCTATTATGACCCCGTTACACTTAAGATGGTTCTGATAGTGAGGTTTACTTTTTATTAGGTTGCTTGCAGACTATTCACTTTAGAGCTGATTGCAGTGCAAGCAAGCTGCTGATGTACTCGAGTTAAAGCAGTGAACGTTGTCGATTCTGGACACAATCATTACTGGCCCTTTTGGGCTCACCTGGACTTCCCATACGAACGATTAAGAAACACGATACAATCAGGTGTCCCATATGCATAATAGGCCGAATACAGGATGGGAGCAGTGGCCGAAAAATGTGGTTTCGATTACACAATTAGGCTTTTGCCTAATCGACAGAGGGCTGCTGATGGGCGTCAGCTGTCATTGTCGGAAAGCTCTGCACGACACGTGTTCGATTTGCCGCTTACGCCATACGATGAGAGTAGTTCATAAAGCTTCGCACCCAAGGCTGCGAATACCTCTCGGGCTATTGAGCTGGACTTGCACCCTAACGATAATCCATTTTTATCTGAAACTATTGGCTCAGTATGCTCAAATTACTGAATGACGAGTCGCACGTTCCTAAGAAATGTTTGCTGCCACCTACGGTAGAACGATATCATACGTGCCTCTTTTGGTGACGCAATCGAAGCTTGTCTGTACTTCCCAGTTGCGTTGGATAGAAGATCTGGCGACATGCAACTTCTTTTGGATACCGAGCAATTACGTCTGTAAAGGCATCAGGGAAACGTGATCCAACTTCGGTCTGAGGAGAAGGCGCTCTGTATGAGCTCACCACATTGGTGCACCAATCAGCTCGAGCATCGTGGCATCTGGATTGTGGAAAACCTTTGCGCGGTGAGCTTAGAATCGGCAAGCACGCCTTGTCAGTCATCTCAGTACATTGCAGCAACTGACTGATTGATGAAGCTTGGTCGACGCAGATAGTGGGATATTCACTTACTTGGTAAGACTGGGCGCTGGCAAGACAAAGTTTGTACACAGTCGGTTATGTAATGGCAATAACTGCTCTTGCTGCCCAACACCATCCACGTCTGATTTACGAAGCGATACGCGGCATCGATATGTAAACAATGCCACCTGACTCGCAAAGTACAAAAGCGAGCTAGCACTATTTATAGCAGTCAAGTGGAGATGCAACAGCCGCAAGCGACTGCGGCATTTCCGTGGCTGACAGGCACGTTAGCTCAGCGACGTTGGAGTTGATCACTTAGATACACTGGGTACGGATCCCATTTAGCTCACGTCTGACGAATCAGCATAGCTCCTCGGAGGCAAGTGACGGTTTGTATACTGCTAGTGACTAGCTACAAAGGATAGGAGATGGTGTACATTCTCTCGAACGTAGTGGCGCTGGCTACTCTGTGTCCACTAGGACGAGTCAGGTTACACCAGCCCAGTTCATTCACATTGACAAGACCTCGCTGGTAATGACGCGCACTTTTTGCTCGTAGACGGTGCGCTTGCTACCACGCAGAGGAAGCAAGAGATATCAGATCCATCTGCAACTTGCCCATTCGTTTTATCGGCCATTGAGCTACTGGAACGTTACCGAGATGGCCATCGGCATTATAACCAACAGTAGACGTGTGATACGCGCTGAGACGATCACCGCGGTCACTGAGTCAATACCTAGCGAGCAGCTGTCGAGACCGTTCTCACGCTCGTCAATCAGCTGATTAAAAACCCGATCTTTTCGATACATCTCAAGTTATCAAGGACCTCGACTTGCGCAAGTTGCGCCAAAAGACATGCTAGTTCTGGAGCTACAGACAGCACTATGTGGACTTTCGATTTGATCCACGATGGCAGAGAACAGTGATAAAGTATGACCGTCAATTGCAGCAGCACTCCTTTGCGGTACGACGTCCCTCGGTCACAACATGCAACATTCACGACACACAGTTGTAGTCATAACCTTTCATTCGCAAAAGCCGTTACAGTATGATACAATCCATCATCATCATCATCATCATCCATGCGACCGGTTGTATTCCGATCCAACAACACACACAGTGAGTGGAGAAATGATCGCCTCGTCATCTTCCGCACGCGACAGCGCTCTTGCTTTCAGCGAATAAGATCGCTGTATCACACCGTGTCACGTCTACTGTCTCCTCTGATTGGCTAGAAAACGATCAGCGCAATTAACGTCCTCGTCTGGTCAGCTCTCCCACGCTCCCACTCTCGATGACAAGATACTGGGCGAGCCACCTGCGACTTGTCAACCGGTACATGTGTATCACCATACACAGGGTGGGGGGTACAACAAACCAAACGACCACACGAAACGGTTCCTTTCAACACGAACGATGTAGCCATCTTGCCACTTCTTTCAAACGCGAGGAGCTACACACAATTCCACTTGGCACCTTTGCCACAAGTCAAAGGCTCGTCCTGCCTCTTTTTTCCGTCGGTCGTCGCAGTCGAGGTACATCCTGATGACACCTCGTCCTTCCTCCATCCCACCGAACCGCCAGTCCGTTCGACCCATTGAACTCAACTCGACCTTCGTCACAATGCCTAACAACAACAACAGTCGCAGCAGTACCCCCTTCTTACCTGTCAAACGTGGCCCCCGGGACCTCCTCGACACCCTCAAGTACCAATGCGACTGCAGTCGGCGAGCGGTTTCCATGGGCGAATACGTGGCCAGTCCCCGCGTTGCCTCCGGTTCTGTCCAAGGGTTTGCCAAGGAATCCGATGCTTTACTCGAGTCAGTGCACGCAATTGACGTCGATGCAAAGATGAGGAGTACGAAGAAGAAGCAGCAGCCGACAGGCCAAGCAGACCAAGAACAAGCCCGGTCTATCCCACGTGCGACAAGCTCGCTCTGGGGGTCGACTTTTACCCTGACCAATACAATTCTAGGGTCGGGGACCCTTGCCGTCCCGTTTGCTATTGCCTCAAGCGGCTGGTTATTGGGCAATATCATTATGCTCGTGATTGCCATGATTACGCGCTACTCGGTGCACCTTTTGCTTGCAGCAAGTGACCGAGCAGGTACCAATTGTGCCAAAACGTACGAGAGTCTCGGCCACTATACAATGGGTGCCTTTGGAACGCGCTTGGCCGAGTTTTCCTTTATCTTTGGCGGCTTTGGCACCCTCGTGAGCTATTTAATCTTCGTTACGGACTTGTGTGCGGCTGTTTTAGCAGTCACTAGCCACGACAAGTGGCTCATTACCGTCGCACTTGTCACGACGATCGTCTTCCCTTTGTCACTGAGTCGTCAGATTGGGAAACTCTGGCTCGCGTCCGTGCTTGCCATTCTGTCCATTTGCTACGTCGTCGCGTTTGTTGTCGTGGCGTTTCTCGTGGCTTACAATACTGAAGGACTGACGATAGCTCCTGGTGTTGAAGCTATTCGACTTGAGCCAGGGAGTGTCTACACCTTGACGCTCTTGATCTCGGCATTCGCTTGCCATAATACGGCATTGCCAGTGTATGAAGAGCTCAAGGATCGGACGTTGCCGAGAATTAACCGGGCTGTGGTTGGCGCTATTACCGTCGCGTTCGTGCTGTATGAAGCCATTTCACTCTGTGGCTACTTACAGTTTGGATCGGAGACAAAAGACAATATTTTGCTCAATTTCTCGCCCGAGTATCTCTCGCACCACAAAGCGGCGAAAGTGCCGCTACTGATCGGTCAATTGTGCATGGCGTTGGCATTGATTTTAACTGCGCCAATTGCCATGTGGCCCTTCCGTTCATGTGTTTTGAGCGTATACTTGCGTGTGAAAAATGGTGTACAGACCCCCAGCCACGAGGCAACGTACAAAGAGTACGTGGGAGTCACAGTGCTAAGTTTAACGGTGATCATGATTTGCAGTATCTTTGTGCCTTCTGTCAAGATTCCGTTGAGCATCGTTGGCTCTGTCTCAGGGTCTTTGCTGATTTTCATCATGCCTGCATTATTTTTCTTGCTGCAGGCGACGGATCCAATGTGGAGTCGGAACCACGTGGGACCACTCGTGATGCTTGGCGCAGGATTCGTCGTTGGCACCGTTGGTCTCTCCTTGACGCTATATAAGTTGTATCATGAATATTATTAAGCGTATAATACCTCGTAAGCAAATACTGATTGAAAAACGTGTTCATGCTGTATCTATTTTTACAAACTACAAGAGTTACTTCCGCAATGGTCTGTGGATACAAAAGGACATTTACACGGTACGCACGCAGGAGGGTCGTACCCTGTTTACTTGTTCGGAAAGTCATGCTAAAAACTGGAAATCGATCATGCTTTCATTGTTTCTTACTGCACAATTCCACACGACAGCCTGTGTCGATACAGGAACCTTGTCCATCAAATTCATTGCACGACGTGTGCAACTGTCAACTATCGTGATAGCATCACGACATCTAAAGTGAGTAGTGCAGCCATAACGCCGCACTAATGCTGGTGGTTTCAAACGACGATACTTGGATGCAGTCGGTGATTGAGAAACTGTCAAGTATCTCAACCCATCGTAACCTCTCGAGTCCGTTTCGCCTGATCTCATAAGTCGTGCGATGACGGCAAATGTGCGACGACCGGCCAGGCAACTTGAACTCGGATACCCTCGAGTACCTGGTCTGCTTCCTGGAAAACTAACTACCTCAGCGTTCTCCACACCATCTGAAGCCATCGGCCGGAATGTCTCAAGGGACAATAGCACGAAACCAATAGGACCAATAGGCTTGACTCCAGCTGCACGACAACAACCTCACCGTACGTGGTCGTACACACACGACCTGAACGACAAACCCTGCAGTCTTTGGCCGTCGTACATGAACCTCCCTGCTGCAACTTGTTGCTCGTGCAAATAGCTGTTGCTTAAACGTTAACTTAAAATCGTACTCACTGAACCCATAAAAATGGACGACGTCCAACCATCGCCTCCGTATACTTCCCCCTCACCCGTCCAGCTGTGGCAAGTGGTGGGAACGCCCTCGACTCGGCTTCAGCGCGCTCTTTAATGCCGTCGTCACTTGTTTCCACCGCTGCCCCAGACTCTTCAGTCTCTTTTGATTCGCCAGTACAAAAGCAGGATCAGCTTGACCTGCTGCAGCCTGGTGCTTGGTCCGCATACTCGTCATCACCACCTTCCACAAGCTGCTTGGCTTCTGCAGAGCTGACGCCATCGTCGACAGCACGACCACATGGTTTCCCTCTTGTCTCGGCCCCGACAGCTTGGCAATCTCCGTTGCCACATGACTTTGCCATCTGGTGAAGCTCAGCGAGTCCAGGAAACACAAATGGACCGTGACGGTCGTGGTCGTCATTCCATCCTGGAGCTGCAGCTGACGGGTGTCTTCCGGTCCAACATCTAGCGCTGTAACCCGTATCCGAAGTAATAAACTCCGAGCCGAAGCCTCTTCGTAGCGATAGAGCCATAACTCCGTGCCGCAAAAGACGGCAAAGACGCGCGTCCAACAGTTGGGAAGCGCGACGGCATCCCGTTGCCAGTAGACCCAGTCACTTAGTGGTTGGGCTTGCAAGGGGACAACCACATTGAGCGCTTGCGGACACGCGGGTGTTGTCACCTCCGCCTCTACATCTACCTCCTTTGTTGCACTAAGCTCCTCCTCCTCGTCGTCGTCATTGTAGTAATCTCCTCCTATCGAGTCGCTATCGTTGGTCATCCACGTGGACCGCAAGGACTCACTGCGACTGCTTTTGTGCCTCGGAGATGACAAAAAGGGTTCATTGAGACTCTCGAGGGTCGACGCACTGGGGCGAGCGTGGGCTTTCGACGGGTAAAAAGGAGCGCGTTGGACGCGTGGATGGCGGTGACTGAGGGTTGGGAAGGACCTGATCATTGGCGCCGAAACAATGGAATAATGGAGAAGTGCCACCACACTGCTAAAACGTGGGTGGGCGACTCGGGTTGTGTGGGACAGCTCAATACTTACTACTGACTTGGTTTAGACGGTCTGATTACACGGGCCATTCGGGCAAACTGTCGTGTCCACTTTGGGCGAGAGATCCTCGTGGGCAGGCGCGCATCGTCTAGGTTTAACTATAGCAACCACTCGTTTGGACCTTTTTCTTCAGTGGAAGGACCAAACGACCACACAAATACACGACCAAACAGACGGACGGACGGACGGACGGTCGGACAAACGGACGGACAGACCGGTTTTTGTTCTTTTCCACGACGTATTACGATGGGTTTTATACGACGAATAGGGGTTGGAGGCTGTCGATTGTGAGGTTTCACCTAACGACGACGGAGCGACGGGGTCGATCCACTTCGGAGAACTTTCGTCGTGATACAGTCTCACTGCAACAGCTGGAGTGTTTGGTCGCCCTGAACTTGTTCATTGAACCAACGGCTGTACTATCCTATCTACGAAAGCGTCGACGAGTTCTCATTACAGTCCAGTCCTCTTTTGGCAAATGGATGGATCCAGTGCTCATCTATAACTTCGTCGTGTAAAACATACGGATACGTTGCGAGCGTATGTGGATTCATTGCGACGATCTTCCTAAATTCTTGGCGATCTTAGACAGTCGACTGAGGTGCTCAAAGTCTAGTGTACAGAGATGCTGGTATTGCTGTGGGGCAACAGCAACCTATACGATGCCGATTCTGGGTTGAGCTGCACCGAAGCGATCACGTGGATGCTGTACGTTTACGTACATCGTTCGTGCACAATCGGGTGGGTGACCCAATTTCGTTTCGGGTAGTAGCACCTACTTTACGTGCTACATTTAGTCCACACTGCAAAATCCTGTTTACGAGCACGGCGAAGAACTTTGCCGAATTCGAGAGGGCGATGGCGATGCATAGCCCGTCCGCCAGTTGTCACAGCTGCCGTGACACATCAGATGCTGATCAGGGAGTGGACCTCTGGTCAATCTGTGGCTGTTTTCTACTTTTTGAGCTGGAGTAAGGAGGCTGTGATTGCTTCCTTTTTCGCGTTGCATCAAACGAGCTCAATTGAAACGTGGACCCAAAAACAGATCGATCGTCTGGAACACAACAGCAAATCTCCAGCGCCTTTCAATCTTTTTCTAGTACTGACCGGACGATTGTCCCAGCAATTTGGTAACGTGTGTGGTCCGCAGGGCGTAAACAACGGTGGTCGTACAATACGTGCCAGAGCAACCAACGTACGCAAAACAGTCGTACACCCATTTTTGTCACCTCTCGCGACAGCAAACTGCGCCTATCGAAACGATCTCCCCAGAACTACGACGGATGTACAGCTGGTCCCTTTGTTTTGTTTACTTGGTCAAATAATTACAAACTGGCGGACACATTGCCTTGGATTGCAGTACCTCTACTCACACCCGGGATCATGTCAAAACAACCAAAAGTTAGTAGTAGGAGTGGATGCCTGAATATGGTATCATCACATTCAGCGCCCCTCATATCTTGCATCGTGTCCTGCTTTCTCCTCGTGCTATGGTACGACTCGGCGTCATCATCAGGCGCCACGCTTCTTATCCCCCTTGCCTAATCTAGTGTACTCGGCAAACGCCAACCATCCGGCAGTATACAGTCTAGGGCCTCGCGTGCAGAAAAGCTATCGTATCGATGTCAGCCTCTTCACTGAATGGTACGTGTGGGTAATAACGTCGTCAATCTCCTTCACTTGAGCGACACGAACAACGACAACAGCAAAACACACAACCAGTCAAGTACGGCAAAATGCATACATGCATACAAGCAGACAGACGTGTCCGTCGCAACGTACCCGTTCTTGCCGACCTCGCGGATGCAAATGTTACAGCCATAATGTTACTATCTTCCTGCACATCGTCAGCGTTTCCACCCCTCAAGGTGCTGGTCTCCCTGCCTTCATACTGCTAACGTCACTGGGCGTTTCAACCTGCACCCCCGATCCACGACCGCGACTCCCTGACGCTCCTCGTGACAGTTCACTCGATTGATTCCCAGCATCTGTCGCATGTGCTTTCAACTGCTGATGGGAACTATTAGACGCAGCAGCAATCGCAGCAGCCAGTTGCAGCTGTTGCTGCTGTTGCTGAAGTTGTCGCTGCTGCTGCATCTGCTGCTGTAGCTGTTGCTGGTGGAGATGAGCCTGCTGCGCGTTTTGGTAGTACAGCGCCTGCTGGGGCACCAGCTGGTTCCCCACGACGTGGTAGCCAGGCATCCCCGTACCAAACGCGCCATTATTATGCGCCGCATTCAACGCCTGATACTGCTGCTTGATATCCACATGTTGCTGGCCGCCATGGGCTCGAAGGTGCTGCATCTGCGCTTCCAGCTGCACTTGAGCTGCACGCGCCTGAGCTGTGGCAATCGCCTGTGCTTGCGCATACGTCTGCGCTTGTACTTGCGCTTGTACTTGCGCTGGCTGCTGCTGCTGCTGCCGCGACGACGTCGTCGTCAATGACGGCGGCACGGTCATGGCCTGCGACATGTGCAGCGGCAGCGCGAACGACCCGGCCAAGTACAAGTTCGGGTCGCCAAACATCGCAGCGCTATTTTGCACCAATAGCGACGCCGCCTGTTGACTCGCTGAAGTAACGTTGGAAAGTAACGCGCGGCTCGTGGCAGCAGCAGCGGGCGCCAACATGGACGTGCCCTCCATGGCCCTCGACGTTGCGTCCCCAGTCGCTGTCAGTGCCAACGCGCCGCCAACATCCGACGGCGACGTCAACTCGTCCCCTGAAGTAGCAGCAGCAGCAAGTGACGGCCGTCTCGCCGCTCCGCTCTCGCTCGTCAACAAAGACGACGTCGCGCCTGCCCGCCGCATGGTACGGAACTTATCCTTGAGCTGGACATTCGACCGGTCGTTGAACTGCTGGCCGAGCTCCTTGTCAATCAAAATGAGCGACCAGACGTTGCGCTGGCCATTGTACTTCTTCACGCCGTCCAAGAGCGCGCGCTCTTCCGTGGCCGTGAACGGGCGGTACTTGCGGTGGTTCTTGCGGTTCTTCGTGTACGCCGCGAGCTCCGGCCGCGTCTTGATCAGCGTCCGCCACTTGTCCTTCAAGTCGACGCCGCTCCGGCCGTGGAACAAGTGGCCGAGATGCGGATCGCGCAGGATCGAGCTCCATGGGCAGCTGTCGTCGGCGTAGCGCTGCACGCCCAAGACGAGCGCCGTCACTTCGTGCGGGCAGTACTTGCGGCGCTTGCCTTTCACGCGCTCGCCGACGTTTTCGCACGCGAATTCCGGCGAGTTGCGAGGAAACGCGTAGGCAGTTCCGGTAGCTGCTGTGCCGGCGATGGCGTTGGCGGCGGCGTTGGCAGCTGGTTGAGAGGCAACAACGTTGTGGGTTGTGGGTGGCGCTGGGCCTGTTGAGCTTGAAGTTGACCCCGTTGCTTGGGAATATTGTTGCTGCTGCTGTTGTTGCTGCTGTTGTTGCTGTTGCTGCTGCTGTTGAAGTTGCTGTTGAAGTTGCTGTTGCTGTTGAAGTTGCTGTTGCTGTTGCATCTGTGCCTGTTGTTGCTGTTGAAGCTGGTACTGCTGTTGTTGCTGGCGGAGTTGTTGAAGCTGCAGTTGCTGCATCTCGGCCTCCTCTTTCACTTGCTGTAAACGGGACGGAGGTGGCGGTGGCTGCGAAGTGGCTAGAGTCGGAGTTGCTGCAACTTGCTGGCCACTCACAGCCACGGAACTTGCGTCTGCGGGCGGTCGTGGCATTGTGAGTCGAGATAATAGAACAGACAGAACCGGTGTGTGTCTACAACCGAAATATATCAGACAGAGCGGTCGACACCTACACGAAAAAAGGAAACGAAAAAAAGGTCAGTGCGCTTCCTACGTTACGGCATATGCACAATGTCAAGCATGCCAAACCCCACCTGAAAATGCACTTGTCACTCGTCGGTCTGCTCGAAGAATGCCGCTTCAAACACCTATACACTGTCAGTTTCCCCTACTCGTCGAACACGGACCGCAAACAGCGCGAAACCACGAGTCTGATTGTGACACGCTCGCTCGCTCTCTCCCTCTCTGTCCTCCTCTCCCTCCCTGCCGCTTCGCGCGTGACCAGCTGTAGCTAAATATACCCTCGTCTCTCGCTAGCTTCTATCAAGTCGCGCAATAGGGTTCGACAACGCCACAACAGTGCAACACGCTGTTGCTATTTCTAGCTGCGAGCCAGACGTCTGTGGCGTTGCTTTCTGGAGCAGACGAAAGAATCTACAGATGCAACACAGATGCTGCTGTCAGATTCGTAATAGGCTGCCTGTCGTTGCGTCAACATTTGTCAAATACCTCGTTTTTCCTACGCGCAAAGTTGCCGTTGCCGTTCTGTGACTCGCCAAAAGCTGCGGAAATCGAAGCTGTCAAGCTGGCACGCGGCTTGCGGTTAAGCGAAGTAGGGACAAAGACGTGGCGACACAAAGAGTGAATGTCACTTGGAAACTTGTTAATCACTTGGAAAAGAAACAGAAAACAGTGTCCACTGCAGCTGGTTAAGCGTGCAATCCCACGTGGCGAGAGCTTGGGGGAGGTCATATTAGCATGCTGCAGTATCGTACCGGAAATTTGGCAAAAGCTGGCAACGAGCGTTCAAACTGGGGCGTTTGGCTTGTCGGTGGTCCGTAGGCTAGATTGCGACTTCTGCAACTTGCCGCTCGAGTTGAGTTGAGTTGAGTTGCCGCGCGCGCTTTGGGCTCGGGTGGCGGCTGCTTTTTTTTCAATTGCGGTCAGGGGAAGGGAGAATAGCCCTTTTCTTCGTAGGGCTTTGCTGTATTCGCATGCCATACAAATACAGCGTGACATGAATGCAATCATAGCAGTACACGGAAAGAGAATTGATTGGAGGAGAAAGGTGGGGGAGGGGGAGGGCCAGGGGATCACAGCTTGTTTTACTTTCCCTGCTGAATCGCATTGCCGAAGGGATGGGGATAGCGTTGAAGTAACACTTGTTGTTACCGTCCATGCGGGTCGATCGCGCCCGGCTATTGCGGGAATTGATGAAACGCGAGTGAAAAGCCGCCATGTTTACGGATCGCATTGTAGAACACAGTATTAAGCACGCATCTTCATTTTGAAGATGTGTGAGTTTAGAGAAACGGTAGAATGAAACCAGGCAACAGCGATATGACTGCTTGTGTGTACGTGGACAAGAGCTAGCCTTATAAGCTGCAGCGAGCCCTTGCCCACCTCTACTCTACAACGTAGTACTGTTGATGTTGTGGTGTTGCTGCTGGCATCTTTAGTGTTACGATGGACCTAACCGTCGCAGCGACCACTTTGTTGCTAACGGCAAACAATATGACGCCGCTCATCATCATTAGTCACTTGGTCGGTTGCCAGCGCCTATTGGGAGCTAGTTGCCTCGTTGAGCCAGCATGTGTGCTGACAGCAAGCAGAAAGGACAGGAAGAAGGTTCCACTTTGCTACTGCGGGTCGGGTAGATCCGCTGTAGGTATTTGGAGACGGTCTCCTTTAAATCTACCAATCCGTGCGAAGAAACGGACGTAGCACGTTTTGACGCCTTTTTGGCAAAACGAGACAGCGAGTACTACTACTGTCAAGCGACCAGCAGCTTCAGGCACAAGATCGTGCAGTTACATACCGACCATCGCTTTTGCGCGAATCGCTGAGCATTAAGGACACAGTAAGGCATCAAATGTAGTAGAGATGTCGACAACGATCCAATACGAGCGCATCCCTTGAGGTTACCAATTATCGGATTAACGGCTGCGCGTGCCTGCGTGTTGCAAACTGCCTTTCACCCGGACGAAACGCTAATCAATGATGCGAAGACTGTAGGTCGTTAGACCGTAATCTGTTGGCTCAGCTGATGCATCAGCAAAAGTGTTGCTGCATCGACGTTTTCTCCGAAAAGAAGCGGAATGCGCACGCATGGTGCATCATCGCTTTAGATACCCTGAATGATTCTAGAAGATGGTGGGTGCACTGCATATAGTGCGTCCGCGCTCTACAAAGTCCGCGTTTCGTGCTACTCATGAGATTCTTGCATGCATTGATTGAAACTTCCACCTTGGAAAGCTTTTTACTCGGACTTTTGTACTTTGAGTGTGACAATGTCATGATTCATGAGTGCTGTATGTCGTCACTAGTGAAGTTCAGCAAAAAGTTTAATAGATGCTATGTTTTATTTAGACTCTCTGCTGTGGGAAGCCCACCACCCGTTAGTCGGAATGACCTTGTGCGAGCGAAGATGTCTCTGGTCACTGATGCAATCTTGCGGCACTTCTGCAAATACCCGATAAACGAGGTGAGTAGTCTGGTGAGTGTAGCGAGTCGAGTTGAAGGCCTTTGCCATATGCTGGTGATCTATTTTTGTAATCTCGAAGGTTGATATCGAGCAATAGCATGTCACGAAAAAAGGATGATCGCAAACTGACGATAAGCAACCGCAAAAGCCCCTGGAACGACCTGGTTGATTCCTACTATGAGCAAGAATCGGACTTGTAGGTAAACATGAAGTGTAGGATGCATCAAGTGCGTGCATCGCTCCGTAATAATAGTGGTCCACCCAATGCTCGTATCTACCGCGTGAAACCTTTTCGCTCAGTGAATAAACGCTCCTGCAAGATAGTATCAGAAGCACCGACACATTTTCCCCTTGCGTCCATCGAGAAGCCTGGAATCGGTACAAATTATGGCCTGAATGCTGCAAGAGTAAGACGTGAACCCTCCATCCGGACCATAATCCCAGTGTCTTTTGAGACGTCTACATCTTCGAGTTTAGGCTGGTATGGATAACTCATCCTCCAGCGCAGCAGGGCGCCTGTGCTGTCTCAAGTAAGATCAACACCACGCAAAAAAAGCTGTCTAGGAGCCCTTTCCAACGCAGTTGTAGCACATGGCTGACTGAGGAGCAAGGAAGCATCTACCGAGTCTCATAGCCATACATGTTATGCGGCCCAAAACCACGTAATAAGCGACCCAAAACATGAGCATCATAACGACAGGAATAGTCAAATCGCTAAACACCCTATTATTGTGGCAGTTGCACAGCCAATGTGCATCGTGTTTCACATTGTAATAAGTACGCACCTCACGTCCTTGTGAACACTGATCTCAACACCCACTTGCGTTCTTGGGGCCCACAGGGCGTACTTTATCGAGAAAGCATAAAGAAAACGTTTTTATCATTGACAAATTCTACATGGTTGACACTGGCTCACATGTCGGTAAAGTTTGACATTTTAGAGTGCAGGTCCTTTGTGTCACTTTCGATACGGCATGTTCATACATCACGCCGGTCCTACTTACCATGCTTCCATGCAGACTACAGATACATCGTTCCAGCATGCCCATTCGACCCGTTACTTTTTTTCTGCTGCCCGCGATCACATAAACATCTGCAATAGAGAACAATATCCTTTTCAGCAAAACAATCTGTCCTCAGCAGCTCACGACTTTGATGCGACATTTGATAATGCACTTAGAATTGATACTGTCGTTTATGTCACGACGTGTAAAAATGGATATTTTCAAACCCGCTCCCAAATCGCCCTATTATAAAGCAAGACGACACCTGAAACGAGTCATTCATGACCAAAACCTTCACCTTCGCAGCCCCTTTTTCTCGATTAGGTCCCATTTTTCGAGCCGGTCTCTTCGTACTCAATTAATCCCTCAAGCCGACGACATCAAGGGAGGCGGCTCTAGAACCCCAACATCGCGACAGGCTCCGCGCACACGTCGGCAGCTCCCCGCAGACCGCTATGGCATCACATAAACCCACGGTTGTCATCGACAATGGCACGGGGTGCGTTCCTTTCTCTCTCTCTCTCTGTCACGTTCTCTCTCAGCTTGTCAAAACCCCTAATTAATCATATCTCCGTGACGTGTCAAAAATCTATGTCTAAAACTCTTGTAAAACTCTCTAAATCAATGCTATTTTTGACAGCTATACCAAAATGGGTTACGCCGGCAATGCCGAGCCGAGCTACATCATCCCGTCCACAATCGCTGTGAGTGGCAACGACTCGAGCTCCGTGCGGAGTCGCCAGGGCATTGACGATCTGGATTTCCACATCGGCCACGACGCGCTGACGCACGCGTCCACGCACCAAGTCAATTATCCCATTGCTCAAGGCATTATTCAAAATTGGGACAATATGGAAAAGCTCTGGCAACGCTGTCTCTTTCAGCATATGCGCTGCGAGCCAGAGGAACATTACATGCTGCTAACAGAGCCTCCATTGAATCCACCCGAGAACCGAGAAGCTACGGCCGAGATTATGTTTGAGACTTTCAATGTGCCGGGACTTTACATTGCAGTCCAGGCCGTGCTGGCGCTGTACGCATCTTGGCCTAAAATTAAGGACCCCAGTCAGCGGTCGCTGACTGGGACGGTCATTGACTCGGGAGATGGAGTGACGCACGTCATCCCAGTATCGGATGGGTACGTGATTGGAAGCTGCATTCGTCATATTCCGTTAGCTGGACGCGACGTGACGCATTTTATTCAAAAGATGATTCGTGATCGAGGTGAACTGGTCCCTCCTGAGGATTCGCTTGAAGTGGCGAAGCGCGTTAAGGAGGCACACAGTTACGTGTGCTCGGATCTTGTTAAGGAATTTAAGAAATACGACACTAAGCCTGAAAAGTACTTCATGAAGTATACGGACTTGCATCCACGTACCAAGCAGCCATGGGAGATTGATGTGGGATACGAACGCTTTTTGGCGCCTGAGATTTTTTTTAATCCAGAGATCTTTTCGACTGACTTCACCACGCCATTGCCAAACGTAGTAGATGAAGCAATCTTGAAGTGTCCGATTGATACGCGGCGTGGATTGTACAAGAATATTGTGTTATCGGGAGGCAGCACCATGTTCAAGGATTTTGGCCGTCGTCTACAGCGTGACATCAAGCGTCTTGCTGACGACCGACAGGCGGCTAACCTCGCCTTGCACTCTAAATTCCAACAAGCACATGCTGAAGCTCTCGAAGTCAATGTACTATCGCACCGCATGCAGCGGTTTGCTGTTTGGTTTGGCGGTAGCATGGTCGCTTCCACTCCCGACTTCTATCGTGTTTGCCACACGAAGGCACAGTACGAGGAGGAAGGTCCGCGCATCGCTCGCCACAACCCCGTGTTCAACGCCACCATGTAACGGCAGCAAGAGTTATCGGTCGGATCCACAGTGCAGAAGCAGAGACTGAGAGAGAGAGAGAGCGTGGCATGCGCGTGGAGGTGGTTTTCATCCTGTGCAAAAGTGCGTACAAAAGGGCGTTGATACGAACGACAAACGTGAAGAAGACCGAGCAGCAATGGCAAGAGAAATAATACACGAGGACTTGAACCGGTTCGTCGTCTATCACGTTTTATCGGAGACATTCCAACCTGTTGTTCTGCCTTCCAGGCCTATGTCATCGAGTCAACTTCGTCCAGCAAAGTCAGCTCTCCAGTCCAGTTCCGTACCTCGATACATTTGAAAGGACAGGTCCGAATCTATTGCTTCTCTCCATCATCTTCTGCCTTTTACTCCGACCATGTAACTTCACGCCATCTCCTCAACCCGACAGTCCGGTTTCGACAGTTTCGCGTCGAGCTTTTCGAGCATATCTGCCACCATCGTGTCCAGCTCAAAGTCGTGCTGCCACTGCCAATCTTTTCGGGCGCGACTATCATCTAGCGATCGTGGCCACGTCTGAGCAATCTGCTGGCGAAAGTCTGGTTTGTAGTCAACCTGGAAACTCGGCAGTACCTGTTGAATAGCCGCGACAATTTCCGCAGGCGTGAACGAAAGAGCCGTGATATTGTACGTCCGTTGACGCAAGCACTCGTTCGGTGCATTCATTAGCCCCAACGTCGCTTTAAGGCAATCGGGCATGTACATCATGGGCAACTTGGTCTCTGGTTCGAGAAAACAAGTATACTTGCCGTGCTTGAGGGCATGGTAGAAAATCTCGACGGCGTAATCTGTCGTCCCTCCCCCTGGCATCGCCTCTGACGAGACAATGCCGGGGTACCGGACCGAGCGGAAATCCACGTGGAATTTCTGATAGTAATACTCGCCCAAGAGCTCCAGGTGGACTTTCGTGAGACCATACATGGTTGTAGGTCGCATAATGGTCGTATCAGGCGTCTCGTCTTGAGGTGTCGATGGTCCAAAGACGGCGATCGTGGACGGGGCAAAGACCTGTAACTTGTGACTCTTAGCCAGCTCCAGGACGTTCTGGATCCCGCGGGTGTTCACTGCTAAAGCCAAAGCTGGATTTGTCTCTCCTACTGCGGACAATAGGGACGCCATGTGCACGATCGTGTCCACGCCTTGCTCGGCAATGACACGAGCCATGGACGTCGAGTCCTGCACGTCGCAATAGGCGAACGTCGGGTCGTGAGCACCGAGAGGAGCTTTGATATCGGAGTTCACGACCGTGTCGTGGCCAAACACTTGGCGGAGAAACGGCACGAGTTCCATGCCAATTTGGCCCGTGCCTCCCGTCACGAGGATGCGGCGACGTCGGGGGGTGAGGGGATTGCGAGAAGAGGCGACGGGCAGCAGATGAGCGCATTGTTGAAAGGGGATCGAGGGGAGGAAGAGGCAGGTGGTGGGCGAGTTGGTCAAGTGGTTAAATGGATGGACGGCGTTGACGCTGGCGAATTGAGGAATGATGCAAAGGGGACAAGATACCGAGAGAGTCAGACAGAGGGAGGGAGGGAGCAGAGATACACAAAGTTATTGGTGCTTTTGTATGCGTGTGGGGGTGCTTTTGGGGAAGTGTGTGTTCGGTGCAGACAGAGGGGATGGGATGATGGAATTTGATGGTGGTCTCGCGGGTAAAAAGCGCAGCTTGAAGTACAAGCGCGAGTAATAAGACAACGGAACCGTGTGTTCCATCCGACTCGGGCGGGATACAGTCGCGGCGGGCGGGACCGCCTGTTGTGACTGTTTGACGTGTTGTTTGTATCGGATGTGAAACTGGAACTGTGGGCGAACGTTGTCGTGGGTGCTCATTCAGGAGAGTTCTCGATTTGATTAATTGATTCCGTGTATAGTGGTGGTTACGTGGTCAAGTCGAACCAAGAAGTGGCGTGGCAGTTGTGGTGATATGACATGGTGATAGTTGTGGTGGTGGCTGGTAGGCTGCAGCCTCGACTTGGCTGGTTGAATTTGGAGGTGAGGGTAGTGGTGGTGCGTCTGCATCCTATCAGATGGACGTGATGCCTGATTGTGTGTCACGAGGTTTGTAATGATGGGACGCGGCTTGAAGATGATCTGGTTGTAGTCCCGTCGCCGGATTCGACGACGCCTCGTACAGCTGAGTCTTCCTTATTTAATACGGCTCGGACCGCCGATTTCTGATTAGATAAGAGAGTTATTAAAAAGCAGAGTTAGGAGGATAGGTTGACGCGAAGGGTGCTACACGTGTTAGCAAGGAGGACGATAGCGTGGCTGCAGCGCCCGTCTCTCTTCGACGCGCTGCATCGATGCTTGCAGAGCTCAAGATATTCCGGTTGCAGCAGGAGACTGGAGACGAGTTTCCAGGGATACTTCAGAAGATGCAGAATCAGGTGGGAATTCTTCAGCAAAAATCCCTCAATCAACAAACTCTAGATACTTTTTTGTAGTGGTCCGCCGACTGTACTTTGATACTTAAATGGCAAAAAATTCCTCTGGGTTTCAAAATCACCCGTTGGCACACCTCGCAAGCACAAATGACCTGCGCACAAACTGTTACTAGCGGGGCCAGTAAAAGTCGCGACTTACCGTGAGATAAGTCTTCTCACGCCCACGATGCGCACTGGACACCATCATGACACTCATGCAAGATGCGCAGGCGCAAATCGTTGTGAGTGGGGACGATAACACGAGTTGTGCCACCTTCAACGGCTGCATAGTACAGCAACGTCTTACGTGTTCTGTATCGAACCGCAGATGATGGCCGGTAAATCTCTGAGAGATCTACGTGATGAGGTCACCAGATTGATCCGTTAGTCGTAGAACAACCTTATCTTATACGTAGGCCTGTTTGATGTCGTCAAGCGATGTTGACGGCGGAGCACTAGGGACTAGTGTTGCAACAGTGGTACACTGTCAGAAGCGCAGCCGACTCGAAGTCGGTTGACGTGATATCGCGTCCGCGATAACATTTAGTCGTCCGGGTTTGTACTCCACAGAGAAGTTGTACTCCGCGAAGCAGTACAGCCACCTCGCCATCCTTTGCGAGAGGCGTTGACCGTTTACGGCCGTGCGTAATGACGCATGGTCCGTACAGACAACAAACGGTCCATCTTTTCGAAGATAGACGCGAAACTTCGCCAGTGCGTTCTTCATGGCAAGATGTTCCTTTTCATGCACTGGAGAATTACGCATAGATGCGTGCAGCTGACGCGACTAATAGCAGACGATTGCGAAATCGTTGGCGTCACAGACCACGTGGAATGGTCTGACCTGATCTGCAATCGCCCATGTTGGCGATTGCATCAAGCTTCCCTTGATACCTTTAAAGGAATGCTGACAATCAGCGTTCCATGACCACTTCTCCTTTTTTTAAAGTTGAGAGAGACATACGGTCATCACAGCGTAGTTGCGCGAGTAGTTGTGTAAGTACGCCGCTAGACCAAGGACATTTCGAAGTCCCTTGACATCGATTGGCACAGGCCAGTCGGTGATCGCCTTGATCTTTTACGGATCAGGGCGTACGCCATGTTTACCCACGATGTACTCAAGAAGAGGTATCCTGCTAGCAGCGAATGTTCAGTTTTTGAGGTTGACGTACAACTCATGCTTCTGCATAAGTGTAAGCACCTGACGAAGGTGTGTTCTGTGAGCCTCTACGTACGCCTTTCCATCCATAGCCCGGCTATGAGCGAACACATCTTCAAACCAACTAGGTGCGAATTCTATCACCAGTCTTAACAGATTGGTTACACATCCATTAAACGTTGCAGGGTCGTTACTCAGCCCCTATGTCATCACTCAGTCTACATGACATCACTCATCCCCCTATGGAATCACTAGCCATTCCCACAGCATGCCGCTGGGGGTGCTTACTGCCGTGTACGGGATGCCTCGTTTACGCGCTAGGATCTGATAGAATCCATCCATCAGATACGTGGACAAAAAGATAGTACTTTTTGACATACCATCTACGATTAGGTCCTTCCTCAGTATCGGCGTCTGAGCTAGTACCGTTGCAGCTATCAATTTGCTGAACGCGTGCACTATCCGCCATCTCCCTGTGGCCTTTCGCACACAGAAGGTCAAACAGCTGTGAAGGCAACTTGATTCTTTCAGATGGTCCGCTGCAAAGCGATTAGCAAAGAACTTGTAGATCTCTAGTATTTTTTCGCGAGGCAGTGGCCACTGCTTTTCATGACACAGTGCTTCTGGTCCGATTTGAGCTCGATCCAGTGTCGGGTGCCTTTGTCCTTGGGTAACTCGCATGGCACGGATCAGGAAACACGTCCTTGAAATCGATCAAATCTCTGTATAAAGTAATCAGCTGAAGCGACTACTTAAATTGGGACGCATATCGCTAAATCCGAGTCTTCTCATCGAGAACACTTTCATCGATCGATAATCTGCTGAGAAGCGGCTAATCTTGGCAAATACAACTGCCTACTGAATGTCGGTCACGTACTCGTCCTCTTTGACGAGTCTACAGATTTGCTTGACTTTGCCACTACACAGATATAGCAAGGCCTGATTCGGTTCTAGCGCTAACAATTGTGTGATCTCCAGCTTCAACTTCAGGGGCACAATCAGATCAAGCGTAACAGCGCCTCCACTTGACCGGTAATCAACCAAGACATTCGACATCTCGGCTTCTCCCTGAAAACAATTTTCCACAGGCTGCGAGGTACTTATTCCCTCATGCTGATAAGATCCAGTTATCTTATCAATAACTTCTTGAGAATAATCTTCCTCAAGTACGTGGGGCATCATTTCCTCGACTTCTCCTATCTGTGGTTGCGCTACCGCATCTGAGTCCTGCGATCGACTCTTCAGCCGATCTAAGATCATCGTGTTACCCAATGTGGGCAACCAGTTTATTTCTTTTTGGATGTCTCCCATTAGGCGTACACCTATGTCCCGATCCACTCAACTTTTTCGAGTGGTGGCTTTTCGGCGCTTCCTGTGCATCCGCACAGCCCCTGGCAGCTCCCTCCACAGTGTGATTGGTTGTCATACTGTGATCTTGTGTTGTCGTACTGAGGACCGTACCGCAATTGAGGACATCAAACTCACTCGCAGTACATCCAAGCGCTTGTGAGCGCTCCAATATGTTCATCAGATGGCCATGTGATGAACAAGTGGCAGTTATCATCACGATTCGATGTTGCCGGCTGAGTTTAATTCGCACTTTCGGAGCCAGGTACCTCTAGGATGACATCAAACTTGTAATACAAATCATGTACGATAAATTCATCATTGTACTGCAAATTTTTTAGCATGTAGTAAAGTCCTACTATACGTTTTATCAAAATTATCGATGCGTTTGTTGCTAGGTGCACCGTCATCCTCGTCTGAAGGGGTATCGTGCTCACAAAATCGAGCCTAAGATCCTCTAGCTACTGTTGGCGAACAAATTTGTTCGACGCCCCACAGTGAACAAAGGCACGAAGTGAAAATCCTTTTGTCATTTTAGCTTCGAGGTGATGAGGTATCCCTCATTCATAATTGCAGACACACAATTAGTGTAAGTATGGACCCAATCTCATCCGTAGGTTTGCAAATTTTTATTGTGGTTGCTGGATCAGCAGAGCACTCCGCTTCTACTGATCCTGACCGTTTTTGACGGCCCGCTACGCTGTTGCCATTTTGCAACGACGTTCGAACCGCGTCCGTCGCCCTTCTTGGCAAATGGTTGAGCGTTTCGCTCAGTGTTTCGAGACACTGGGCGTAGGCCGCTACACTGGTAAGCGTAGTTTTCCAACTTCAGACAGCGAGTGCACTTCAGCAATCGCTTGTTCACCGAAGAGCGAAGTTTCTCGCTCTCAACATATAGGAGGTCCATAGGTTCCGGACCTCCGACTTCTTGTCGTCTTGGGGGACGACATAAACCTGAACCATCATAAGCCTGTATCAAGCTATAATCTCCTGTTCCACACCTGACATCGTTTCTTTTGGCGTATCCAGTTCCAAGCGGAACAGGTGAGGCTTGACGGGACCATCCGTAACAATCTGCATGAACACAGTGATCAATGCGTGTTCATAAATCGGATTGGCCGCGATATACCTCGCAAATAGTCTTCGTGTTGGGCGCAAGTGTGCACATCGCGCTTACCCTGCTTGAGATCCAGAGTTCCTCTCACCCGTTGGTAAGTCAAGCGTTTGTCTGAGCCGAGTCTTGAAGACCTCCAAAGACCAAACACATATGGATCCTGTGTTCTGAGCCCTAATCACTAGTTTGGCACGTCCAGCCAGATATTATCGACTGAGTAAATGCGACTTACATTTGCTCATCGACGATGTGACAAGCCCTTGTGGTGTCGTCAAACTCGACATCCATCGTAGCAGGAAGCCTTCTTTGACTCCTGTGTACGTTGAGACTTCTACCTCCAAAGTTTCGGGTTCACGCATGTGCCTGCTGTTGTCTCAACATTTCAAATTGTCGAGCACCCTGTTCTCTCAACAGCTCTGCCTGTTGGATGCCTTACTGTTAGAGCAATCTTACTTTCTCTCGTGACTCGTCAAGCTCATGTTGTATGAACCTGGAGACGGCTGCATGATGCCGATCTCTTTCCATTGCGGACAGCATGGCAGAGACGGCATATTATACCACGGTCGAACCCGTTCGTTCAACCGCACTCCATTCGATATCACTCAAATGGATGTAGCTTTCATGCGTGGCGTGAAATCTGTCACTATCATCATCCAAACATGTTCATGTTGGATGCAGGGGTTGAGGTCCTCGGACGGACTACAAAGTGCTACCAGGTGTAATGGGGCAATGGTTGCTAGTATTGCTTCAGTACTAGTGCACCTACACTGACAACAGTGTAGGTAGTGCCGCGCGTCACGTCACGTGCACCGTACGTGCAGAGGAAGGCTAGCTAGTGAACGATGCGTGCATTAGGAGTAGAATGTAAAACTGTATTAAATACAATTAAGTCCTAAATCAATGTACCTATGTAAAGTCCTAACTCGACTACATTTATCTACAAAAAAGGTATGCTAAGTCTCGCTCGCCACTCATTACGCACGTCTATCGTTGATTGGACCGCTAGAGCTGGCTGATATAATAGCACATATCAGCGAATCGGTGAGTGCTCAGAGTATTACCCGTTATGGTATATTCACAAACGGTATCAACATTTGTGATAAAGTTCTAATGACAAGTATCAAAATTGATTACATGTGATTCGCTAGCCCCGTTACATTACCCGAATGGCGAATCTTTTTTCTATGAGACCAGCGATTAGGTGATAAGAGTACGTATGCAGTCTTTTGCTGATAAAGACGTAATTGTAAGAATGTAGTCGTAGTTGCACTTGTGCAAGAGGTGTAAGAAGTAAAAATGACCACATAAGTGCTAACTACTCTTTTCCGTCAACACTACAACATCCATTTCCAACGGTACTCCATGTTGACCAGATTAAGTCACACATGGTGGTCGTCTCCTCCTGTCCCATGTGTCATCTCATCACATGGCGCCCGTCTCTCCCGAATCCATCAGTCAAGATGCCACAACAAGACAGTCGATAAATTGAATTCGCATATTACCTGTAACTGACTGGACTTCAAATCCTGATGACCTTTCAAAATCAGTACCTTTTAACATTAATCTGATTCTCACTGACAATTCTACACGAGCAAGGTTGAATGACATCCTCCTGGAACAACGTCATGTGTCGGTACCGACAGTGCCGACAGACTGTCCGAATTTGTGAGCATGCGCCACCTATGGTCTGCGCTGTCGAAGATACACCAAGCAATTATACCCAATCGAAACTATCTCTTGATCCTTGATTGCAAAACAACATACATCTTGGGCCTACGCGGACTTGACCGTCATACCAGTGTCAGCATATTAAATTAGCCTAAGCGAAGGTATTCGGCAACTCAATGTATGAAGAGCGATATGACTTTTGCATTATGTGAATCGGTGGAGCAAATTTTATGAGCGATGTTTGAATGGATTGAATTTGTTGATACATTCCAAGTTCTACGATCGCAAATTTCAATTTTGCTTCCTATTAACAGCCTATCGATCAATCAACGTAGACATGGCTTTGACTGTAAGCGCAAGTCGTCTTACTTAACCGAAACGGATCATACTGGTAAGTACTGGCTGGTTTGCTATACATGTATTGGAGTTCAGCTAGACGACACCTTACCGTTCATTCGTCAAATGTGTGATAGAAGCATCTTACGTCAATAACGATCTTTTACAATGACTACACATGCGTCTTATGTTCGTAAAAACATGCAGGATCAATTACTTCATCGTGCAACAAAACCTACGGCCGACACGTTCACGGCTTCTTCTTTTTATACTGTTCGTGTGATCATTCTTATCATGATGTCACAGTAGTTGTATCGCTGTCGCCAATATCAAGTTGATCGGCGCAACAGTTCGTGCCTAGTACTTTATCGGTACAACCAAAAAAATCGAGATCTTGCACAGCAGCCCAACCAACAGCAAAATAAGTCATCGGTGCGGCTATCGTTGCGGTGACAAGTCTGCCAGGATACAAATAAAGGCGGCCCACACACCTCGCCAAATGGCCTTTAATGGGAACTTGTTAGACAAATTAATACGCTTTCTCGAATAAATGTCGATGATCGTCTAGCCTTTTCTCGAAGCGTGTCTCGAACCGTAAGGAGTTGCATATAATTCTGCGACGGACACGCGCTGTGTGTGTGTGGCACATAAGACCGAGATACGGTACCTACACTGAATGAGGACAGTCAAATAATCTGTAAGGATCAAAATTGGTGGTGCACAGCTGATATGTGGAAGGCTATCACCGTTGGACCAAGTGTCGTTGACAGTTAAAGATCAGTGTGCGAGTAAAATCAAATTCAGTGAAAGATGGGTACCAGAATACGTGTTCGGGCCTAAGGTCGATCTGTACAACATCAACTGGCTGGGACAAGGACAACGTCATAGACGAGGTCATAGGAAACCAGTGTGAGACGACGAAGGATAGACATTTTCGTTTAACTGGGGTTCACCTTTCTCGTTGTACCTTGCAACATGTCTTGTTCGAGCGTATGACTGATGGCAAAAGTTGCCTGAGGGGAACTCATTGGATTGCAACCTAATGTATCTTACTTTAAGGAAATCAGAAAGGTTGTCGGTAGATATCTATTCCATACCATGCGCTATTAATGCTCTGCATGTGCTAAATGAGCTGCCTACGATCGTCCTCAACGAGAGAGTCAATGCAGCACCATCAGAGGGAAATGCACGAACTGAACGAGATAATGCACCAGCGGATAAGAACAAATGCATGTCTTACATCCATGAAGCAACCATCGAGATGGTGGTGGCCCCAGCCTCATAGAAGCGGGCTATGTCGTAAGGTTGCGCGATGGCTTACGAATAGTCTCGTGTTCGATTCAGTAAAGGTGAATGAGACTACTTGACATGTCAAAGAATCCATGCGGCCTTTGTGAGAGAGCAAGAGTAAAACAGAGAGAGATTTAGTGAGGCGACGAGGCTCTTGACGGTGGATACATCTTGAAAGTGGTCAAGGCGTAGTAATCCTGAGGCTTGGTAGCATATTTTAAAAACAAACGGCGCATATGAGACAATAAGTCAGTTCCTGCAAGTGATTGTTTTTAGAAGACATGCTACGTCACGAAGCGACTCAATTTGTTGTGCAAATCCAAACTCGGTCAAAGCCTGCATCCAGTCGGCGCAAAAACGAGAAATCTCTTGATGTGAAAATATGTCGTCGATCCTTACAAGATTTCTATACAGAAGACATAATACAAAGGGTAAGTGCAGATCCCAGGACAACAACGGATGCATGTAGATCAATGACTTACCGATTCAACAAAGCAGATACGTATGGTGCACATCAATCGGCTACTCAGAGATAAAGTAGATTGCGTTCGTGTAACATCCACAGATTTGCAACTGATACATCTGACTTGACGAAGAAGTGCATTGATCAAAGCTGAGCTTGCGCAAGCACAGATGCGAGAGAGCGATGATCAAGCTAACAATGGCCTTGTTGAAAAGCGATTACTGTTCCATGCCGTGTCAATATATAACAGTGCAACTTAGTTGCTTTGAATGAATTGGAAAGGGTAAGTGCTAACACGAGCGCCCGCCCGGTCGACTTTTGAGTAGCCGATCACGGCTTCATTTCTATTTTCATGCTATGCGATAGAGTATCTTGCATCAAGTGAATACGCGCTGAACAAATCCTACGCAATTCATCATCAATGTTACCAGTGTGGCATTGGTCACAGCAGAATTTGCAGGTAAGCTTCAAGTATGTATCATGGTTGGCAGCTTATTCCAGCCGTATCAAAAGTGTGCGATGAGGATTGCGCTAAGCGCAACTTCGTTAAGCTTTCAAGCGATAGCTGACGTTAGTTCGTCGCTTGATAATGTTTGATCAAGTTGTGCCACCCCTGACAGAATTTGAGAAACTAGTGTCCATGAGCAACCACTTACTGTGTTGCTTATGTTCCACTTGAAACCACTTATCGTGACCAAAGCATGACGTAATGACCATTAGAGTTGCGTTCTTTTTGCGAATCATTCCGGATATGCATAGCATTTGACCGACGAAAAAACTACCACCATAGCCTGCAAAGCGTCTATGGTCGAATATGTTGGCATCGCATATTGCAACGTCTGCTGGTCACATTGCCTCTGTCCTCAAAAGGGTAGCATATATAAGCGACATGGGCTCCTATCGGACTACGCGCATTGCTCCAAAACTGGCCAACGAGTGAGAAACAAGCCGCGTATGATACAAAAGTGAGTTTATAACCGCGCCAGCGGACAGCCCGCACCGTGTACGTGGTCACTTCCTACCACATTATAAAAGCACGTATTCATCATCATCGTCTTCTCCTGAGACGACGCCATTGGCACTCGCAAGCTCGTCTTCGTTCATGTCGTCACCAGAAAGACAATCCGGTATCAAGAGATCACCACCACTTCCCGTGTAATCAGGTCTACAATTGGCAACTGAAAACGGACACATACCACCATTTGCCTTAACTTCATCGTGAAGAGTGCGTACACGCCGCTCAAAGTCTTCATAATCAGCGCGGTTCTCGCACAAGAACCCAAGTGCCAACGACGGATCGATCGAATTCACATCCATGACCAGCGGGCGTGAGGAGTGGACCGTGCGCAAATGAGTCTGCGTACGATCAGAACAATATTAGAATATCCACGAAAGAGAAACAAGTCAGCTCCGTCCCACCCTTCCAAATAAATCTTCTCCCTGCTAGCAAAAAACAACCGTACCGCAGTAGGGAATGCAACGTTTAATTCCGGTGCAGGATGCACGTCATGAGGGTCCAGCAGATGCAGTTGGTCCTGCTGCGTGCCAACAAAGTAGACAGAGTGTCCTTTTTTGCCTCCAATAATCCCCACACTTTGTGGAAACGTAAATGTCTTTTGCAACGCTGGCACGTAGCTTTCATTCACATGGTCCAAACCCAGTCGCAGCGGAATTAGAATGAGCAACGCCGTGCTCCACTCTCGACACTCATCCACCGCCGGTGGATGCAGCAACGGGTCAAAAAACGCCGGCCCGTCCTGCATTTCCATCTCCTTCATCTCCACCGCTTCCTTTTCCAAATGCGACACACAAAGTTGCGTCACATCATCCCGGTACACGACACCTTCTTGTGGCACGTACATGGCGAGTGTCTCGCCACAATCCCGTCGGTACTGATTTACCAGATCCCGCAGCACTTGAGCAGCAGTAGTCGGTCCATACCACTCCCCCGGGAGCTTGTCATAGTGCATCCCCATCTGCACCATGTGATGGATCGAGTACCGACACGCACTATCCGGAGCATCAGCAAACCACATCAACAGCTTCACATCTATCTCCGACAAGGTCCCCCCACTCTCCAGTTCAACTGCCGTCCGAAGCGACAGTCGTCCATTCAACTGACGCTGGAGCGCCTGACCCAGCAACATCTGCGCTGAGCGCAGCATACACCCCCACCCTGCGTCGCTTGAAAACTCGTACGGCGTCATGGGTACAAAATCCCGACGGTAGGTGAACCACAAGATCGATTCAAACGCGCGCTTGTACGCCTCAAAGTCCGTCGCTGCTACGTCCTGGAAGCGGCGACCCAACAGCCACACGGGCGCAGAGAGCGCCGACGCCGGCGTCACGTCCAGCGCTGAAATGCCATGTGTGAACTGAGCCATGCGGCCAACTAAACGGCCCCCAAATCCCCAAGCAGAAGGTCCAAGCACGTCCCAGACCGCGCTACCGTCGAGCGTGGTCGCCAGCGTGATGACGATGCAGCGGGAGCGACACGGTGGATGCTAGCGGCGCGTATAGGGCGGGAGAAGCGAGGAAGGAGGCGACGCAAGCAGCTTGGCTTGACGTCTTGTGCGTTTTTGCAATTCGATGAATTTTCGACGAATCAGCGCGCGACAAGGTGAACCGGCGCGTAGATGGATCGAGTTCGACAGGGAAAGAAGGGCCTGAGTTGATGTGCGATACATACATTGGCGACAATAGTGTGGCAGACACAAAATGCCACAAATCATTTTTCACTGGCAAAGAGGACTGCTGGGCACGATGGGTACGTCGCCGCGTTGGATTTTGTCGTGGCTACGACGCTGTCGACGCGACGAGTTGCCGGTGGAGCGTGTGCTGGACACGATACGGTCTGTGGATGGAGTGGTGCCGCTGGGCGGACGTGTGGGCGGCGTGGACGGCGTGACGCCGCCGTCCACACCTCAACCCGCTTCGTTCCCGTTGTTTTCGACGTTAAAAGACGGCAACGTGGAAACTGTATCGAGTGATTTGGAGTCAGACGAGGCTACGAAATGGAAATTTTTGCTGACGAGTGTGCAACTTCCGTCTTCAGGTGGTCCACACGAGCTCCGGCGAGCGCTCGAGACGCTCCAGAAGCTGGACGGACAGGAGGACCAATCACAGGATGGCACGCTGGATACTGACCATTTGAGGCAAATGTACTTTGAAGCAAGACGCGACTTTTTCGCAGTCCGGATTGAGCTACTGCGGGCTGCAAGGAACGTGCAGCACCCGAACGTCCAAGCAGCTGGAGAGGTTGTAAACAAGCTATTGAAGGACGGGCTGGGCGACGTGTTGCTGGACGAGGTGCACAGCCGTCAGTTCTGTCAGGCGCCAAGTTTCCAAAGCGTTGGCAAGGAAGAGCGCAAGGCAATTGTGGCGTGGGAGGTGCAATTTCTGGAAGAAGAAGCGCTGTTGAGGGAGTTGTTGCTGCTAACGCTGGAGTATTCTGGCGAAAACGCGACGTTGGAACGTGCTGTAACCATTGCTAAGGCTGTGTATAATTGGGACGTTCAGGTGTTAAATGAGCTCATTATGGACAGTACGCTGGCGCTGCCGAGGGCGCAGCGGGCGGCAAGGAAATTGACGCATGTGGGAGTTTTGGTGGCATTGAGGATGCTGCATACGGCGGTAGATGCGCTAGACCACAAGGCTTTGCTCCACGCGTCAGAGACGTTCTTTTTGACAAAAGTGTGTGAACTTTCGGGCGTGGAGCGGCCAGCGTCGCCTGTGCCCGGGGTGCTGCTGCTGGCTTGGGCGACTCTATTGGGTCGACAATATCATAAGCTAGCAGAACTGAATCGAGAAAGCGTGGAAGTAAAAGAGCTAAAGGATGCATTGCAGCAGTCGCTAGCGGCGGCAGAACGCTTGCATAGCTTTCACTACTTAAACTCGCTACTGCGCTCGTTGATTTTTGGTGGTCACTCTGCAAAGGCTGATCACGCCGGATGGAAGCCATTCTTGCAGCCGTTGAGCCTCAACACCAAGACTCTGTGGAGCTTACCCACTGTGGCTGTTTCCGCGGGGCTAAATGGTGTAAATGCGACTCATCTAGATCCGTTCGTCTGTTGTGACAGTGCTCCCGTCTATCAATACATGGTGGCAGTATTTTTGGATGACATGCTGTCATCGCTAGGTTACATAGAAAACCTGGAGAATGCTCAGGAGCTACATGCAATGGTGAAGTTTGTGCTACCTACGCTTTCGAATGCTCGTGTGTCGCAGCAGATTTTTGAGATTGAATCGAAAGACAGTTGTGTGGTAGACAGCGTAGCTTCGCTTCGTGAGCTACTGATGAAAACCCAAGCATGTTTACCGGGAAGCCTAGTCTCATGCATGCAAATGTTTACGGCGCTCTGCTGCAATTATCAAGGAGCTTCGTCATCAACCGTGCTTCGGCACGTGCTGAGGTATTTCAGCACGCCGCACGCAAGGAGGGATGACAGAATGGTGACACGTGACGTTTGTCGTCCACTACCACCGACAGAATATTATACTGAACTTAAAGGCGAGCACAACAAGTTGCTGTGCACACGTTCGTTTGCGTATGACAGTGCAGATGAACGATTGGTGGTACCCGTAAATACAGTCGGTATGATCGTGCGCGCAGGCGACGACGTGAAGGTCACTTGGCTATTTTCAGACAACAGTGAAGACACGTACGTGCCAACCATGTGGGATTTGCTTTTCCTGAGCGCGGACAGACTTGTGGCTGGTCAAAAGTCCAGGTCATTTTCGGATCTGTATCATGTGCACGTAGAGGACATCGATGTTCTTACATCGTTTTTCGAATTTCTCGTACAGCTTGGTAAGCAAGAGGACGGTAGCGAGGATGCGGTGGAAGAGATGACACGGTGTTGGGGTAAGGCGAGATTGCGTCATTGGTGGATTGGTCATCAGCTTCCATCACCACAAGTTTACGTATCCCAACTGGTGGCGCAACAGATATCTCTTTCTACTCTGCTCTCGGCATCGAGCGAAAATCTGGTTTCGTGGGGTATCAGAGATCGCTACGTACGGGAGCAAATACTGGTAAAGCTTGGCAATGTGGGGGGCTTTGGTATCATGAAGACGCCGATGGGACTAATTGACGAGAGTACTACGCATTCAATGGCTTCATTTAGTGTGGATGGTGGTATCCACTTGTTGCGCCTACTACTGGCATTACTAGATGAATTTTTACATACCACTTGGGGGGACGATGGCATGGAAGGCGATAGCGCTTGTTTTTCGGCACATCTGCACCTGGTTGCGGCGTCCTTCTTTGCGCTTCGAGCGGTTTTAGCGACCGCGTCTGGCGTGGAATTATTCATGAGCTCCTCTCTTGGCAGTGGACCCGATGAATGTCATAATTTAATCGTCAAAAGTGCTAAGAAATTCTTTGAAATGCAGGAACGGTCAGTAGGGGAATATCCGGTCGTATTGGCAACACAAGATATATTTATGAGCGTGGTTCGGTGGTTTCTTTTGAAAGAGGCACAGTCGCTCGCGATCATTGCCACGAATGCAAAGATTTCCTCAGTGAGGCTTCGTGCATTTATTGGTAGTGAGAGACTCTGGTTCGTCAGTGCAGCGGAGTTTGCGAATGAAATATTGTCCACCTACGAAAGCTGGAAGTTTGCGGCAACGAGTGACCGGTGCGAGATCACGGAACGCTGCTTTCGTTTGCTCTACGTGCTAACGCTGCTCCGAAAATATATTAATGAGCGCAATGACATGTTACCGGCTTTCGAGACTGCGCTGCGTGAAACGCTGTCTACAGATACGTCGTTTCTCATGAAGCTCCTACGGTCATCATGTGCCGTCTTGTCAACTACAGAAGGCCAGCTTGAACACTGGAATGCTGTGGATGTTACTGGTGATGACGAGCATTGTAGCACACTAGACTCTGACATCAAAATAAGCGATGACCACATTCCTTTACGATACAAGAGCGAATTTGGCAGTGATGAGGTCAATATGGTGCAGCTTGAGTCGCTTGTGACGACATGTTTACGGTTCGTGACGCTGCTGATCACAAATTCAAGTAATGTGGTAGATATCAAAGCTGCGCGAACGATCTTGCTGATGCCTATGGGTGGTGGAGGCAGCAGGGAACGCATGGAGCTGACGACTATCACGCTTTGCGGAGAATATCTCGGGTATTCACTTGAAAAGGCCCCTGGAATCGCATACTGGTCCTTACGGATTCTACAGCATGCCGCTGTTGCCGTTGACTACCGTCAGGAGCGAGACATCCGCGCCTCGTCTTCAATGCGATCGCTGGTTGCACTTTTCCATGGGTATCAAAGCCTTGGTGCTGTTCGCAGAGTCTTTGCGCAGCTGCTGCAAATGTCGTCGACGCAACGATTGGCAATGCATAGAGAAGTTATTCGAATGCTGGCATTGTGCTTGAAGCACCAACCAGGCTTCTTGGCTCTGCTATTTTTCGGTGATACTGTCACGAGCGATCCAAAGTCAGACACGGTGGTGAATGAAAAGGGTGGGGTAGATGATGTTTCTTGTATGGCATTGCTCATGCGCTTTTTCGAAGTCACAGAAAGGCTTTTGGAACAAGCGTCAGATTTTTTCTGTGAACTACTTGCGTTCGTTGTGCAGGTATGGGACGGTGCCATTTATGATCGCCATAGTATTCATCTGAAGATTATGGCAACTCTGCGTGCATGCCCCTCATTTTGGTCGAATGTTACACACGCGATCAAGATCCATATGCCGTTAGAGTCGGCAGATGAACGTGGACTTCTGGACATGGAACTAGCCGCTGTAACCTCTCCAGGTAGAGGGGACACGCAGAGTTTGTCGTCATCGTCAGAAGTGTATTTTGGGCGGTCTAGTGCGTACGGATATATGGCTCGCAGCCTGATTCTCCAGTTGGTGTCGTACGAGTGGCACAGTCACGCTTCAACAAAAGACGATCACCCGCTATTGGATGTGTTGGAATCTTTCAGAAAGGAGGGGCTGTTTTCGCATTGGTTGCGCACCTTTACTCGTCTTGATTATTCACCAGTACAACTAAGACTGTATGCATCGTCTATCCGGCGTGCTTGCAATTTACGCACACCGATCACGAGCATTCTTGATAAGACTCCCGTTGGTGGCGTGTCAACGTATCTGGAAGGCCTTATTTGCAATGCTAGGCAACTTGAATGGCAAATTAGCGCAGGCGATTACGTCAAGAGGAAAGCCTATTCAGCGGATGCTTGCATGCTGAAGCTAGTTCAGTGGAGTAATTTGCAAGCCGCTTTTCTTCACGCGCAACTGTTTTCCTTGTCCAAGTGGAAAGTATTCATGGAGCTTTGCTGCTTTCAGGTAGACAAAGAAGGTCATGGTACGTCTGGTGTAGAAATGCTGTGCATGACGGAGCCAAGGTGCCTGAAACGAAAAGAATCGATGATTTCGTCGCCTCCGCGGGACATCGGGACGAGAAGCATACGACAAAAGAGCGCCACATCGATGGCGTTTTTAAGTACATCCAGCTCAGATAATGCGTTGTCGTCGTCACGCTTTTCTGGGGATCGAACGTCCTTCGAAATGATTCGTGTTCTAGCGGACGTCATCGAGGCTAAAGTGGACCAGCACGAAAATCAGAACGAAGTACTGGACCTCTTTGTGCTGTTATATCTCCACGACCTAGTACAGCTTTTGGTTTCGATGTTGCACCATCAGTTGTGTCTAGTTGTACAAAAGGCACGTGACCCCAAGTTATCCCAGACTCGGCAACGTCTTGAAGGGTCTGACGCAGACTTCAATTTTAAGCTTGATGCAAGGGCAACCTCTCAATTGTTAAATATCGTCCACAAAGCTGCAAGTGCAGTGCACGACTCGATCAAGCGATTTGCTGTCGAGGTGGATCTGGTGAAGCATGACGCTGATAATCAGTCAATGTCTGATTATGTTGTACGTCCTACTTCCGTACCACTGATTTCGCGGCTTGTGACGGACTTCGAAGAAAGAGTGAAGTTTGTGACAGACGGTTTGCTGACACTACTTTTTACAGCTGCGTTACTGCTAGTGCGTCACTTGGCTCAGATTGGTAGCCACCCGAGTCATATGGCGAAGATGGAGACCGAAGCAACAAGTGTTTTACTTCCTAAGCCTGTTTTGCAGGTGAAGTTGATAAATCACTGCATGAACGTATTTGCACTGTAGCAATGATCGGGAACCTCAAACGAAGTCCTCCAAGACTCTGTTTCAGCTGAGTTGGTGTCTATTCCAGGAAGTTTTGGACAGCTATGGAAATACGAACGCTGGTGTGGTCGGAAATTCAGTGTCACGCCTGACAAACATGGTGCTGGATGACCCATTTGTTGCGAAGCTGGAGTATGACCAGCAAGGAATTGGGGCCTTATTTCACCTTTTGGTGCAGCGCTTTCGTCCTTCTTCACAAAGCAAGGAAGTGACCGCGTCGCAAGAGGAGGCGTGTCAGGTATTGCGAGGCCTTGCTGCAGTTGTGTGGAAGCCAGCCAACGTCGAGCGGAGTCGACGTGTCTGGCTGTCCGACAACAGCAGTGCTTCTGCATTATCTCGACTGCGTTTGGTGTCGATGTTTGCGACACAGTTGCTGCCCCTACTGCGAAGCCAGATGGAGCGGGAAGAATCCACTAGTAAGTTTCGTGGCTATGCGTTGTCCGCGAGTGACGAACCTACAGGCGAGGGGAAATTAGAACGTTCCACTGCACATCAAATGTGGTGCCTCGTGCTTAACTTTGTGAGCGGCTTGCTGCGCCTGCAAGCAGAGGCCACCGTTGTTGAGTCTCGCAAAATGGACGTTTGGGAGTTCATGTCGTGCGCTGAACCACTTTTGCTAGCCGCAGTGGAGCCTTCTACTTGTCGGCGTTTTACGTGCGCTACTATTGCTGAACATCAAGCACTGCTGCGGCTATTGAATGGCCTTAGCAGAAGTGCGTCAACACGGAAGCGCTGGCGCCAAGCTTTTCCGACGAGCGCTGTAGTACTTATGGAGCAGAGTCGACAGTTGCTTCGTCGTGCATGCACGCTGCTGGGCAGTTCATCCACGGAGAAAAATCGCTCTCCTGTTGAGAAAGAGGTGTGGCATGCTCGAAGCAAGTCGGTGAACAAAGGAACTATCAATGGTGGCGGAAGCCTCGTTTCCAGGTCACCGCGATCTCCACGGTCTCCTTCATCTTTCGCGTATTCGTGTCAGACGCTCTTGCATGATCACTTGCGTGCCGTGCGGGATGTCGAGAAACGAAAGCTTAGCGCTTTTCACCAAGAGATGGAGACCGAGCTGGTGGAGGTCGTGCGATTGGCAAGTTTGCTGCTAAGCAAATGGACCGCTTCGCCGACTGACCGTGACGCTATTGTTGTTGTTGATGGGGTACGATGCGTGGATGAAGAGCAACTCGTGCCCTTACTTGCATTCATTCCACCCAGCGAAGCGCGTTCCATGAACAGTAGGCCGGGCTTAGGCCATTTGAGTCTTGCCATGGACTTCATTCTTGATCAGCTGTTGGCAAAAGAGGATACGCGATCGGGATCGCAAAATATGGAAATGAGACTGGCACCGACGAACGCCATTGACGCGTGCGTACTGCTGTTTCTGAAGACCTATCGTTTATATGCGGATCAGTACGAGTTAGTGAAGCGCGATCGCGATGAGTTTAGCAGTTTCTTTCGACGCTTCGGTGTCCGAATATCCGAAGATGAGACAGGAGCTACTGCTGCTGTGGACAGGCAGTTGCTTCAGCATATTGATCTGGTGCGTATTCAGATGGATCTCCTTGGATGTGTGTGATTGTTACGCCTTTTGCTAATATGGTTCATACTCACAGGTACTTGCTAGACAATAGCATTTGACGCGATACTACCGCATTGTTATCAGGAACGAACGAACGAACCCTCGGTTACAACGGCACGTAGTTCGTGGCAAGATTGCTATCATTTCAAGCTGTAACTAGCTTCACTACGTTCGCGACAGCATCCAATCCATTTGATCCGCACAGAACGTCAATTTGGGAAATCAACAGCAACAACGTTTTCACTACTGGAGTGGAAAGCTTGTCGTCCATGAAGCTATTCCGATTTCTGCACTTATGACCCAGCCACTGAAGATGTGATTCGTTAGATCCATCTCGCCGAAGGTCCTACATAAGCATCTTTTACCGGGAATTTTGTCGCCGGTCGGCGTAACGCTGTGGTGGTTAAAATCGGCAGGATCAAACTGCCTGCTGGAAGCCGACGCTGCTTGTGTAGTTGCTGCAGAACGCGTGATCAGCAGCTATGAATTACTGAAAGCTGCTCTTACGCAACACGCAAGTATCTCGAGTACGTGTGCGACGATCTTGTGAACAATCTCATTGATGAGCACGATCCAACCGCGTTGTGGCTATCGTGGATCGCACGTGCCGACTGTCCGTCGACCATTCGTCTTGCGGCCACGTTAGCCTCGCGGGTCAGTCTCGAGTTATTGAGCGAGGACTTCAAGCGCAAGCCAGAGTGCGATCACCTTTTTCGGAAGATCGGTGAAGCAACACAGCCTTTTCTGCTTATGCTTACTCTTGTGGTCACGCAAAGTGTGCTGCCGCTATTGCGACAATCCAACACGCAGTTCTTGCAGATTGCAGGAAGACAGTGTACAAGCTAAAGCTTGCAGCTATTGACAAGAGAGCAGGACGTGGAATCGAGTTATGGTTATCAAGGTGCGATGCTGACCTGATCCACATGGAGCTCGAGAGTCGCGTCGATTTGATTCTAGGCAACTATTACGTGGAGACGATGCTGAAAGGCTCATTCCTCTGCTTACTGAACCACGCAAAGAGCAAGAGGTCCGACCAGGACGAAGACTCGCAATAATGCTACGACGTGTCTAACCTAATGGTCCAAGTGATTGATTGGCGATGTCTGTGGAGACCTCACCATCCCGTTCACGTGGCAAAACAAGCAGAGGAGTAAGGAGTGATGCACGATGAAAGGCCGTTTTCGCGGCGTCGGCTCGATTCAGGATGGTCCCCACCAGTCAAACAGTGCATTCCGTGTTGCAAGCGGCACTCGGCCGTTCGCTCAGCTACATCAAGGTTGACATCGTAGCCTTCAACCAAATTGTATCGTGTTCGCTACATGATCGTTGTTACCATGCAACTTAGACATCACACTCCGAAATTCGTCAATGGCACGTTTTCCGACGCAAGTTTACCTTGTTCGCTGCAATTTCCTACTGAGTGGACAGTGATGGCTCCTTTTGTCTCATCGTATTGGCCTCGGTCGGGACAAAACTGATGGATTTCTAGTGCGTCTAACATGCTGCCCAGAGAATTGTTTGTCTCCTAAAGCTCATTACTTGTCCGTAAAAACTGTTGGACGCGTTTAAAGTACGGAATAGCACATTTGTAAGTACGGATCGGGCCTATTCCTGCATAAGGCGATTTTCGTGTAAAAAGCTGCGTTTAAAGGCTAAAGTACCTATTCCCGGCGGGTTTTCCTTGAATAAAGGACAACTTGTGAAATGGAGCACTGTATTCCAAGAATTCTCTACTTCTCATGTAAAACAATTCCCTCTAATTGCACCTGTGAGAACGCATGAATGTATTCGACCAACGACAAACTTCAATTCGCGACCCATTTCGACGCTCTTCCCCTACCGACCAGCTGAACGGGAGCCCTTCTCTGGCACGAACATCCCTTCTAACAAGAACGTCCTCTATTTATACGCTGTAGCTATTCCTACAAGTGCTGCTCAACCGCATTCTATCACTCACTAGAGCTACAACAAACGACCAATTCAACCGTCTCCACTGGAAGAATGACGTGTAGGAGTAGGCGGATCGACATCAGGCAATGGCTTCAGTTTTCAGGAGTACCTATTGGCATCGCCAGTATACAAAGACACTGTCGAAGTTGCCCAGCTCCCTCCCACCTTTCGCTTCTGATGTTCCTCGCTATCCTTTTGACCGGTGCAGCTTCTCAAGACCCGATCATTGCGCCAAGGCAAGTGCCAGTGGAAACGTCTTCGCCTGTTGCTGGGTCCGAGCTGCTGACTTGGTGGGGTGACCGAGGCGACGTCACGCAAACGTTGGTGCACCTTGGAGGCGTCCAATTGTGTTCCGAAGCTCTGAATGTCCGTGTGGACGCCGAGGTCTTGGACGAGGAGATGCTGAACTCTTGCAAGCGAGAGACAGCTGGTTTCGACATTATGGCGTTGTTGCAGCCTTCAGAAGAGCTGAGGGTGCCAACACAGGAGCAGATCAAGAACCTTTGCAGATCTGAAGCTTGTGCGGCGTGGCTGAGGTTAGCAGTGACAGCCTCGTGGTTGCCCGACTGCAGCTACCGCCAGTCGCAGACAAGTGTCCGGTCGCTGGCAGAAACGCTGCTTCGAGTCCGTGCAGACCTGATACATACGGGTACGGACCCAGTCGCGAGTGTGGCTCCAGCTGCGAGCTCGTTTCGAAAGCTTTACAAGCTTAATGTGCTTGCCAATCTGCTGACTGCGAAGGAAGAGGCGGTGCATGAAGTCAGCTCGCCGGGTCTGCCGATTACGAGACAGATGGCAGCACTAGACGATCTCAATGTGATGGGTTCGGACGACATTTTGCAGTCTGGAGCCACTGTAAAGCGACGTCCGATGAGCATTGGCACGATTGGAAACGCTACGAACGTTGCTGGTCGTGGAAGTGGGTACAGCTCTGACGACACTCCTGCGAATTCCCGCAGTGCTGGTGACTTCAATGTGGTTGGCACCTCGGCCAATTTTAGACTTTCTGACGGCTCGAACAGCTTGGGAGATACGATGTCAGGTGTGGATATGAGCTCGAACGATTCTGCCGGGTTTACTAGCAGCGGCGTTGGGCCACACGCGTCGTCCACCACTACGACTACAGACCTCACACTAACGTATGCCTACGTTGTTGGCGCGTGGGTCCTTTTTTAACGGCAGCTACTATTTCCTCATGCGGAGAAAATGATGTCAGGAACAGTGTTTCAGCTAAAGCTTTCTCGTCCATCGTGTTACTGGTTCAGCGAACAAGCAACTGCTGATATTAACTTGCTTGTACCCTGCGTATATTCGTGACCTCCGCAGCAGTACGTTCATGTCCACTTAATTAGACGGTAAATACGCTCCTTTGCGTGTGCTCCTCTGTCTTCGATCGAGTAGAATCGTAACGCAAACACAGCTACGACTTTTGACCTTCTTCTATGACCGAAGGTGGTGACGTTGTTCGCGTAGGAACCGAGGTCGCTTTGGTCGTGACTGTCACCACGCCCATTGATCGCTCTGATCCGGCAAACTGTTGCCCTGAGCGCAATGACAAAGTAGATGGACTGAACGATGGTGCGGTTTCCAATGTTCGTCTTCGAGACGCTGCTTGCGACTGCGTCGAAACGAATGGAGGTCGCGCTGCTGCAGTAGTTGTCGCACGTATTCGTGTGGCTTCACCAAACGTGGTCTCATCTTCCTCGTCCCTCACGTCTCGATTGGTACCATCGTCGGGGAGATGGATGTCCCGGCACATTTTGCACTACAAAAGCAATCACAACAGCCCGTTAGTGCCATACTTCTTCAAGCAGCCACAAGACATCGACCAACTCACCTGCATTGATGGCGGGCGGTTAACAAAACTACACGACGGACACGACCACGGCTCTGTTGGTAACAACATCAAGTTCGTGCCGAAATGTCGTGCATCAAAATCCGTGGTCATGTGGCAACGCGAAGAAGGCGTTGAACACATTGAGAATGACGATGTCCGACCCGTCGCATCTTCCCACGGTACGCGGGCCCCACCTCCAATTGTCCCGTGCGCGAACACACTCGTAGGCAAAGTTGCTGCCGCTTCTACTTGCAATGATGTCTGCAAGAAAATTGCTGCCGAATCAAGTAAGAATTGCGGCCGTGAACTGTTGTGATCTCCATTTACTTTTACCAGATTCTTATCTCCTCCGTACGCTGCAAAGATCTGGTCACTGTGGTGTGGACCTATAAATGAATCGTGCTCTGCAGCCACAAACAATGCTGGCACGAACGAAACAGGCGCATGATCGATCGGCGCGAGTTGCTGTAAATCGAAATGTGCCCGCTTCTTCACCGACAATCGAATAAACTTCAATACGATTTTTACCAGAAAACCTGGAAGTGTCATTCCTTCCTGACGTCCACGGTCCACCACCTCCTCCACAAGCTGCTCAAGGCTAGCAAAAGCGCTATCAACAACAATACCCGCAATCGACGGGTCTCGATCGGCATGCAATAGAGCTGTAGCTGCTCCCATACTTCTGCCCCATAGAGCTACCGTGCCAATATTCATCTTTGTCCGAAGATGCGTCACCACATCTCGTAAATCATCCCGCTCGTAATACCCCAATGAAATATACTCCCCTTCCGAGTGACCACACCCAGCTGTATCAAAAGCAGCAACTGTCAATCCAGCAGCCAAGCAGGTGCGTAAAATACCCAAAGCTTCCAATCGACAAGATGAGTTGCCGTGTAAATAGACCACACATGGCACGAGCGTGTCCCCTTCTATTCCCACTTGAGCCAAAGGCACAGCAGGCCGCCAGTGCGAACACACGAGCTTCTGGCTCCGGTCATTCACGACCACGAAATCCTCCCGGACATACGTCCGTCCCGTAAATAAAAACTGACGGGGTCCCAAATCCACGGGATCGTAAGTGGTTCGTGGTGGTCGAATGATCAAGTGCACGAGCTCCGTGTACCCATGTTTGAGCAAGTACCAATAGCTGAGCTGCGCCGACGTCTCTTCCAGCGCCTCTTGACCTCGTTCGAGACCCCCTCTCTCCCGAGCCAAGGAGTCGTCACTACTGCAGCTCGAGCTGCTGGACAGACGGGACCGCCGCCTTAATGTGGTTGTAATTGCTGCTTGACCGTCTTTCGGCTCGTCGCTGTCGTCGTGCGGAGCTTCACTGGATTGAGGCGTGAGGGCACGTCTTTTAGCCCGCAATTTGGTCGAACTGGAGGGTGTCGTCGCCCCTCGAGACTCGGAATTCCCCATTGCAAGACAAGGATGAGGATGAGGGACGCCACTGGCGCTTTGGAAACGTCGGTGCACTGATCGAGGTTGGAAGGAGGTTGGAAGGAGGTTGGAAGGAGGTTGGAAGGGAGTTGGAAGGAGGTTGGAAGGAGGTTGGAAGTGCGACTTGGTCGAGTTGCAAGTTGGGGATGTGCTAGAGACCCGAAAAGCTGCGATTGGGGCGGCTGAAGTGAACAGAACCGCGGGAGCTGGACGGTGTGTTACTTCTCTCCTCGCCTGCTGTTGCTGCTGGGTCTCGTCGAGGGGTCGGGCTTCTTTTACCTGGAAAGCTTGATTTTACAGCTGTGGGGGATTACTTTTAGCGAATCAGATGAGCGGACGAGCTGTCTCGACGCCACAGTGCACTGACTTGACCTAGGATGACCTGCTGCGCGAAAAATGGGTCCCTGCCTACTCTCTCTCTCTCTCTACACCTTTGCTTCCGCTTGCAACTTGAATAAGATTACAAGTCACGCCATGGTCGATGCCTGTTGTTCTTATCGGCATGACCTGATGCTTTTCACCCGCCCTTTGTCACTAGATGAACGTGTTACGACCATATCGGATGCTTGTCTGTACGTTTGCCCGTCGCTGCGGCTATAAAAGAGCCGCTGTGCTTCATTGAATCACGTCATGCTGTCCGACTTGATGCCATGAAGGCCAGAGTGTTGATCACCATCTTGACTTAACAGCGGTAGCGTTACTTCAAATAATCAGCAGCTCCGAGCACGCGTTTATTCTGGGTGGACAAAACCTTAATTTCGGGTCACACATCGGGTCGCATGTTGACATGCTGCACCTCTTTTTCGCTCGATGGCAATTCAGTTAAATGCGAAAATCCGAGGCGGGGCGGACGTAATTACGTTGTAAAAACTCGCTGCTTTCTTACCGTCTTCCAGTCCCCGAGCCTAACAACCACTGGCTGGTGGACGCTGTGGCTCTTCACTGGACTCGTAATTTCTGAAATCGGACTAGACAACAGGTGCGCGCGTGTTTAATCTCTGTGTATATGTAGAGTCTGAAGCGAATGCGTTTGACCTGACGAGCGGCATTGTGACTGTGTAGACCTTAGCAACCATGGTAAACATGCCTAAAGAACGTCGCACTTATTGCAAAGATAAGAAGTGTCAGAAGCATACTGTGCACAAGATTACGCAATACAAGGCTGGTAAAGCGTCAAAGTACGCTCAAGGAGCACGTCGTTATAACGATAAGCAAAAGGGTTTTGGTGGTCAAACAAAGCCTGTTTTCCATAAGAAGGCGAAGACTACCAAGAAGATTACGCTGCGTATGGAATGCAAGGAATGCAAGACGAAGAAACAGCTACCAATGAAACGCACGAAGCACTTTGAGCTTGGAGAGAAGAAGAAATCAGCAGGCCATCAGTACTAAGTGGTGCTGTACTGGCATGTCATCTCGCGGTGCTCTGTAGGTGCTGGTGGTCACGTGATTCCTCTTTGGTCGGCTGGTAGCTGTACAAAGGCCGTGCTGGCTGGTGGGGGAAGGGTGTCACTACTGCGTACGAAGACAGAGGTGATGTCATGGGTGCTTGGTTGAATCTGAGGTCTCGTGGTGGCAGGAAGGATGTGCTCTAGCGGACAGAGAATTGCTTACAAGACTTGAGTTCGATAGCGTCACAAAGTAAAGCCATGGTCGTGTTTTAGTCCTGAAAGCATCTGTGTCCAGTGTTAAGGTTGTCAGTGTGTCGCTGTGTATTGTCAAGTTGATGCAGGAGCCAGGAAAAGCCACGACAGTGTTACACTACGAGCACATGTGGATGGTCTAAACGTGAAAGAACCATTCACTGCCGCTGTTGTCCTGCTCTCTTAATGCCGAGGAATTGGCCCAGTCTAGTTACGTGTGTTGCACTTGCATCACTGTGTATCGTGGGACAGAAATAGGGGTCCTGCTTTGTTTGGTGTAGCCACCATTCCAGCTAACAATATTAGCGTCAGCATTCCCTCAAAGAAGCGTAAGCTACATGTATGCCCCATCGACGTATCGAAAGCAAGACAACATCTTATACGTGCCGCACTATGGGGCGAGTAATAACGCGTTCGATGGAGCTCATCGACATTTTCGCGATGACCGCAGACGGTGTTGCGATGGCCACAGACAGCTCAGACAATTGTACAGAGAAAACATGAAACGAAAGGCAAGAACATTTGTTTGCTTACGCCGCGCGGATCGTATGGCTACCGAGCAATTCGTCAAGCAGCAACAGGTCAATTGATTGCAAAAAAAAATTCTGATATTGACAGAATAGTTGGTGCTGGTAGTCAAAAGCGACTTAATCGAAAACATGCGGTGCCTAGCAAGAAGAAGGCAAAAAAAAGTTTTTAGGGACTCCGGATCTCGACTTGACAATGCAACGAGCCAACGTAGCATGCCAATGAGAAGGTTCAGAGGCAGTGTCAACCAGGTCTTGCGCACCGGACAATGTCCTCGCGAAGGAAGACGCTTGCTTATTTATTGGGCTACCGAGCATTGCGAGTTCCAACGGGCAGCTGGAGATAGGAGAAGAAGCTAAACGTGTAATCTCATTGGACCGCACGCTTCATCAGCACGGAAGTTGAAAGACTGAAGAAGCGACACAACACCTTGGCAGACCGAGTGGATGCTAGAAAGACGAACAGCTTGAGCTTTTCACATGGTAAGAAAATATCCTGTACCAAAAGTCGTCTATCGGCTGATTAAACGTGGTCGAATCGGCCTTCTAGTACGTGAAGTGTAATGGGGTGCTTCCATTCCATGATACTTTGCATAAAGTAATCATCGAGCATGATTATTATGGTAGGACAAACACCGTTTTCTCACAATATTATCCTAATAAATAATATTGCTTCGCAGACGTAACACACTGCTCATCAACCAATGATGTGGGATTGAGATATCAACCAACAAAGTCTAGCCACGACAGAAGCACACAACGAGTGGAAGGCAGATAGTTACAATACATGTTTGTATTCAGACATAGTCAAGTGAAGTCAAATAAGGATTTGATCAAAGGATTAACGATACTAAATGCAATTCTACTTTTTACCTTTCTTGAGTACTCTTACTTTGTTTGGCAACCTTCCTCTGCACGCATGTGTACGTGAGATAGTCGGACGGACATACCCTTGCACTGTCAGCAGTGAAAGGTTTATTCAGTTAGCTGAATAAGGTGGGACCCGTTACATGAAGCGCCCAGAGAGCCAATCTTTGTCAGACCGCAATTTAAGTTCAAAATCATTCGTCTCGGGATATACCCGTGTGAAGGCCTGGATGAGGGTCAGTAAACGTGCGCTTGCGTTCAAGAGAATCAACTACACGCTACTTTTTGTCAAACCAGCTGCTATTGCACATCGTGAAATAGTGAAAAGTGTACCGTAATTACGCATTCTAGTGGATTAAATTATCCAATCGATCTGACAATTGTACTTGTGCACACGAGCTTCGGTTCTCTATGTGCTAATTTGCATATTTCCTTGCGTAACTATTTTTTCTTGACGGTTAACTGCTACACTGTAAGATGTTTGATAGATTCACTCCCTTTTTCGTTAAACCTACCTTCGTCTTTTCGTTACTTAAACCACTTGTAGCAATGAGTTGGGCAAATTTAAAAATATTACGTGAAGTTTCCGTTTTGTGATCATCACGCCCACAAGTTCAACTAATTCCACGACCATGTGGCATCACTCGGTGGCCAAGCGACTCTTAAAATGGTCATGTGCTGAACCACGGCGATTGCATCATTTCTTTGTCACCGTCACATTAGCTGTGACGGTGACAAAGAAATGAACAGCCATTTATTCACATTTTGTTAGCAGTAGCAGCAGCAAATTAATCGTCACAAGACGAGGAGGAAGAGACTGTAGAGTGTTAGTATAATAAGATAGGGGAGCACGCTCTGGAGCTCGCCCTTTGATGCATGTAATTCAGTTCAGAGAACTAAATCAAGTTGCAAAATACTATACAACAGCAGCTGTCACTGAAGAATGCATTACGATGCCGTGAATGTCTTCAATAATTCAGTACAGTATACTCGGGCAACCGATCAGCCTTTGCTTCTGAGATCCTTCTCACCTTTGACCGATTATAAGCCGATCACGTGTGTGCATCACAATAGTGACCTAGCCAAAGACTGACTTTAAATGTGCCCATCCAATGAGGGGGACAGACTAGATCGCACTTTGTACGTGAACGGTACACCTAGCCGCGTTATTTACTACTGACAGATGCACACGCAGATAAGTACGCTCTAAAGCGTTCAGCATCCACTTTGCGCACAGCCACCGATATCTCCACCATTCGGACTCGCAAAACTAAGCGAGAGCGTTTGCCACACACCAGTCTTTCGATCATTCCGAATTGACCAATCTCTCCCACCCCTCACTACCATGCGTGTCTTCCTGCTCGCACTCGTGGCTGCACCCACATTCCTGATACGAGCTGACATCCTCTCGAAGGCTGGGCGTCCTCAGACAAAGGGGCCCCATGGCCCAGCTGTCGTACCCGTATTGACCAAGGATCACGACGAAGATATCCATCCTGACATGCTGCCGGGGGTTGGAAACTTAACGAACATTGAGGAGAGAATGAATCTGATGGATCTTGATGATGTAGCCCATTGGACCGAGTTAGCTGATATCCTTGCCTTGGCTAAGGATGAGTCGCCGGGACATGTTATCATCACCAAGGCTTTTAATGCGTTCGAGGCTGCTCATCCAGGTGTGACGCTGGAGGATGCGATATCGAAAAGGTCGGAGATGATGCAGCTGGCAAAACGATTTGCGCACATGAAACAATTGGTGTTCGAGTCACTTGTTTCTGAGCGAGGCGAAGCTGAAATGGCAAAGTCGCTTGCTGGTCTACAAGAGTCTCAGAACGAGGTGGTGAAAGATTTTGGAATAAAGTACTTGCAGGTACTGACGAACTGGTGGGCCGACGACGGGGAACAAGCTCCCGACGTGTTTTACAAACTCAAGATGAATAAGCGCACCGTTTTCGATCTTCTTAAAGGCGAGAGTACATCAGACGTCGTGCTGAAGACCTTTTGCACGCGTATCGTCGGCGGCAAGTTAGGTTTGGCACTGAACTATCACACCATAGTAGAAGCATATGGTGGTACCATGAAGTTCATGAAACAGGTGAATGAATCTGTTTTCGTACCAGAACTTCGCGAAGAGGCACTGAAGTTCCTGGTACGTCTTTTCAAGATCATGGATGGTAACGAGAAGCTTACCAATCCCGTCTTTATCAAGTATCTGGATCAGTATTTATATGTCAGCGATTACGTGAAGGACTTGCCGGGCCACTTCCAGGAAACGAAAATGTATTACAAGCGATTGATGGATGATCTGATAGTGCAGCTGTTTCAGCATCCCGCCGCAACTGTGTAACGTGTTGGGAAGGGCTGTAAACCCACCAGTCGTGTCCGAACAACAGCACGGAGGGACAAGTATGGGCTTCACTTAAATGCAACTCAATTGGAAAATCACTAATTAGCAAAGTACATGTGCATCTCTGAAGACTCTGCCAAGAACACACGCTGACGACTTGAATATGAGTAATGTGTTGCGATTTCAAAATCGTATGGTGGTAGAAAACGTAAGCGAACGCAAAATAGTTTGGTTAAAAGCTGTTGTCAATCTTGACAAACCAAGATTGACAACAGCTTTTAACCAAACTGTTTTAAAGTGGCAGAACGTGAGGCAGAGCACATTTTTTGCTGGTACAGGGCCATCCCAGGATCGACCGTGATTAAGCATATTTCGATTGGACGCTCCTTGCTCGTAATGTTTCGCTCGGGAATGGTATAGTGAAGTCTACATAGACGTCGCCAACCATCTGGGCCACGAAAGCAAGGCACGTTTGACATTCATCGGGAGCTCGAACGAGTCTTCAGTCCTGATCGGCATCTTGCACTTAGTGTGTTTCTGTTAGCAAAGGAATGAGCAGTTTACGTATTGTCCGCATGTAGTAGCTGTATCAAATCAAGTCGGTGTGCCCTTTGAGATCTACGTAGATTGCTTCTTCAACCAAGTTGAAGTCAACCTCGCACCCAGATGACCGAGGTCAAGTCCACATCCTGATCACTCGGGATGGCTTCAACTCCAGCTTGTACAATATCTTCCAGTGAGACCACATCTGCGAGGACTGCGTGCTACATTATAGGGCAATACCCCAACCATGCACTCTCACGATATCACGCGAGCCCGCAAACTTTAGTAAGGCCATCATGGCCGTATTTTCAAAACGGTGGGTGGACAGTTGGCACAAACGCCATCAACGATAGTTCACGTCTTCAGCAGCGACTTCGAGCAGCGTCGTATACTCGTTGGCAGGCAGCTCCGTGCGGTAGACCTGTCTACCACCTGAGCGCTCATGCGAACGCCACGGGTTCTCTCAGATGTAGTGCATCAGCGTACCAACTTTAATCGGTATGCGGAAAGGCGAATCGGAGGTCATTTGCGTGTTCACTTCTTGCTGATGAAGTGCGAGGTGATACGACCAAATGGCAACATCACAGCCATTAAGTGGCGACAAATGTGGGTAAGTGCGAGAAAGTTGAGCTTATACCAGCCAACCGGTAGCTCTCCGCTAACGGCTATCGTCCTTGTGCCACCGTGCTGATGTAGCTGGAATAAACATGCTCGCGTGGAGACTGTTGGTAATCGATTCGTGACAGCGCCCATTACGCGTCAACATTCACAAGGTTATGAAAGACGAGTGTTATCTTACAAGCAAGCATTTAGCCAGAAAATGACGATGTCGGACGTTGTGACCCTGCCCTAGAGTCTAACTTTGCTGCGCTCAACAAGGAATCGTGCTTGCAAATAGAAGCAAATTTTTATACATGACGATGGCAACGCGTACTATCATTGTAGCGGAGCTACACAGCTCCTTAAGTCAGAGGAAGACTTAACGCTCTACGAGCAACTTAGTTCCAAAGAACTAACGACTTTACGAGTCAGCAAGCTTTACAGCTTCAGATCCCTGTTCCAGGGGACCTAACGATTCAGTGAATCGACAGCACTTAGTGCTCAAGAGTAGCTACCTCAAGGAGGTGTTGCTAACTCTTAGTGATCAGAGATCAACGATCAAGACGGCTCGCAAGCCACGCGTCTTTCAGATCAAAATGGGAACTGATTTTATTTAATGTTAAAGCCTATAGAATATCTTAATCCTACTCAAAGATCTTTCGTATCTAATGGCTGACACTTGTCAGCCCCTACAAACCGATAAGATATTCTATATCACCTTCACAGAAGCGAACCCTCAGGTGTGTAACACCTCTGGTACAAATTACCATGATTTCGTGCAACCCCGTTACACCCTCCCCCACCAGACTGACGTTTACCCAAAACGTCAATCGAACTCGTATTCTCAGCGAGAACAGTGCGCGTACGGTGAACCTCACGGTAACGTACGCTCTAGCACGATGTCCTCATCACCAAACGAGTCAAAGGCTCTGTGTGACTACCTCGGAATAGAGGAAGAGGTGGACTATGGTAGCGATACCAGTGTCCGCGGTGACACAGGGACAACGTCCGGCTCACTGATGCCTGAGGCACAACTTTCGAACACCCCAAATCCGTTCGCTGAACGTGGAGGTGCGAGCGCGCCGCCAGCGCAGCGTGCAGCATCTGGGTTTGATGAGACTATCATCGCGAACCCGCTCGATGAGCAACAACAACTGCTTGTTCAAAGAGAACAAAACGCTCAGCGTTATGCACAGATGACTGCAACCCTTGAACGCCAGCGTGATTATGTGTTCACCCCACCCAGTGTGGAGGAACGTCTGCGTCAAGCGGCCGGCCAAACATTGGCAACGTGGGTCATTGGCCATGGGCCTAAGACTCCTGAGGAGGTGGTGAGCTGCCAGGCACTTCGTGAGAGGTACCTGGAGCCGCACCTAACGACTCAAAGTCAATACAAGGCACGCCTTGACATGCAAGCACGTGGTGCACCAGTTCCACCGATGAAGGGTATACCCATTCTCCTGCTCGCAGGCGAAACAGCGAGTGAAGAAGACGATGCCTTTGTTCACTGGGTGCACTATGTGCGTCGCCTCAGCAACATTTTTGCTCTAAGGGCTAGTGCCCATGCGGCGGATGTGCGTCTCGAACGCAAGCTTCGGTATGATTATGCCAAGCTTAAGGCCAGAGGCCAATTGCGCAAGCGCACGCGCTATGCTTCGGCTACTAAGGTAGCCGCGAGTGCTGGTCAGTCTGTGACCAACAACCCGCCAACCCGCACCACTAGTGGTGGTGAACGGCCTCGGCCTCGCGATGACCATGGCCACGATGCTCAAAAGCCTCCAAAGCATATGGGCAGTCTTGCCGAAGGGGTACCTCAAATTCCCATGAGTTTTCAGACTCAGGGTACCCACGCCACTTTACCAGATACTGATATTGGCCCTGACGACGACGTCGTTTCAGTAGTCTCTCGACATGGAATTGACGACACCCATGCTCATCGAGCAACGTCGGTGGCGGCCGGTGTACCGGTGGAGGCCCACGAGAAATTGGTTCTCGAAGTGAAGGGTCTTCAAGCGGCCTTGGGTAAGTCCCAGTGCATGCTGGATGCGATGCAAAACCGCCTTCAGGCGATGGAGCAAGCTCAAACTCGGAGCGAGGCTCAGTTGGACTTGCTGATTCGTCTACAGCAATCCGGGGCGGTGCCCTTGTCGTCGGCGCAAGCGCCTCCAAGTTCACATGGGAAGGATCCCGGTACGGCTTAAGTAAGCCTACGTAGAACACGGGATGTGTGCGCAATTTGCGTGGGAGGTTTAGCGTATACGCAAGTCCCCTTTTGGCCGTGACCTTGAAAGGTCCAATAAAGCGTGGACGCAACTTTGTCTTAAAGACAGCAGACACTACATTTGTAGGTAGATTTTTAGCATTGAGTAGTACTTGGTCTCCGACCTCATAACGTTCAATACAATTTCTGCTTTTGGCATCAGCTTGTTGTTTTTGGGTATCTTGGCTATCAGCCATTGCGTCACGCACATGTCTTAGGACATTTAATCGCGTTGCGAGAAACTCGCTTACCTGTTTTTGAACAGTAGCAGGGCTGATATCAGCAAGCCGATCGGCAACCTCTCCCCCCACCAAGCCCTGATTCACGTAGTGATAGCGTTAACGGAACGCGAGGGTGAGGTAAACCATTTATATAGAATGGAGTAAAGCCTGTCGAGGCATGCACCGCGTTATTCAACGCAAACTCAACCAGAGGGAGCATTGCGCTCCAACGCCTAGGCGTATCAGCGCAAATACTGCGCAAAATGTCGTTGATGACGCGGTTGACGCGCTCAGTCTGACCATCGGTCTGCGGATGATCCGCCGTGGACATGTCCAGTCGAGTGCCGAGCACTTTAAAGACTGACGTCCAAAACTTACCCGTAAAACGGGGGTCTCTATCAGAGATAATTGCCACAGGCAATCCGTGTTGTCGAAACACACGATCCATGAACAGCTTTGCTGTTCCTTCTCCATCGATGGAGTCCGGCACTGCCGCTAAGTGAGCCATCTTGCTCAGTCGGTCAACAAAGACCACAATCCCAGTGTTGCCTGCCGCATCACGCGGTAGGCCAAACACAAAGTCCATACTAATGGACTGCCAACAACCACGTGGGTACTGGCAAACTAGCCAGCGGCGCCGCCGCATGTGCCGAGGGTTTCACCCGTTGACACGTTTCACACGTACGCACATAGGTACTCACCCATTTATACAGCTTGGGCCACCAATAATGGCTCACCGAGCTGTAGGTCTTCTCACGACCTAAATGACCACTTAAAGCAGTATCATGTGCCTCATAGAGGATCCGATACTTTAATTCCTCATTATGAGGTACTACGATACGAGGGTTGTCCTCAATATCCGTGCGATAGCACAATAGGCCATTATCGATGGAATATCGATGTAGCCTCGCACGTAAACGTGCCGACAATTCTATGTCCGAGTCTTTAAACTCATTGCTCCCAAGAGCACGTAGCAAAGCTACACACTGATCGTCCTTGGCATATGCCGCACGAATTAAGTCAGGGACTGACGACGACAGGGTCGTAACATGAGCAAGCTCATAGTCAGGTCTACGCGATAACGCGTCAGCCAAAACATTCTGTTTTCCCGGCTTATACTTCACCTCGAAGTTATACTCCGCAAAAAAAGATAGCCAACGAGCCATTCTCTGCGAGAGATGAGGCGACTGTGTCGCTGTGCGCAACGACGCATGATCGGTATAGATCACAAACGGCTTTGAGCCCAACAGGTGTACCCTGAACTTAACAAGGGCGTACTTCATCGCAAGTAGCTCCTTGTCATGAACTGGATAGTTCTTCTCTGCAGCTTTCAGCTGGCGAGACTCAAACGCGATGACGCGTTCGCGTCCGTCGAC